TATATATATATAATATCAATAACTTATTTTAGCCGCTTACCCAGTTAATTATCTCTTACAATCTTAATTTGTGATGTAAACTTGGTATTAAATTTGCTTTTGTTTTGGTTATGGTGAAAGTTGGAGCTTAGAACTTCTTGTCATTTGGTTGTATTAAATTTTTATTTTTGTTTATTATGTTCTTTGAATTATGTAATGTGCATGTTATTTTTTTTATTTTTGTTGGGATACATAATTTCATTTATGTTGGGCCATTCCTAGGCTTTTCACATTTAAATAGCAAGAACTTAAGTTCCAAAAAGTGGGAGAAAAAAAATTGTTAATGGGGCGGGCACAGGGGCACAGTATTTCCCAACGGGGTGGGGCTGGACATGAAAATCTAACCCGTCGCGAGTCTCGAGACGGGCATAGACTTGACAAAAATTAAAAGGGGCGAGGCGGGATTTAGGAAACCCCACTCCAAACCCGCCCTGTTGCCATCCCTACCTATAACAGTGTATTCAATTTATAATATTTATATACATTTTAAAACACTTAATTTAATTTTAAAAAAATATTATTACGTGACTTGTGACATTTCAGTTTACGTTTTATATTCCTAAACGCCACACCTTTTAAGATACTTTAGACTCCCAATCTAAAATAAATACGTAGTTTATATATTTTAAGTTATTTTCATTCATGAAGAGTTTCTTATATTGTCAACTAGGGTTACAAATCATTTTTATTTCTAACCGTTACGTCTTTTAGGATTTCAACACTTTTAATTATTTAAAATTTTATTATTAAAAAAATAGACTTTCTATGTTTTATTAAAACATGTGCATTAATTAATTCACGTACCTTTTCGTTAGTTGTATTATTAAAGAGGTGTATTTATCAGAGTTGTATTATTAAAGAGTTGCATCACTCTAAAATACCTTAAAAGAGTTTCAAATCTAAAAGAGTCTCTTGATTTCCACAAATGTTAGGTTTTCTTCTTTCACAGACAACTTTAAACCATTTTAAAGGGAACACATCTTTGGTTTGTGTGCATCAAATCAAATCTCAAAATTATACTTCTTGGAAAGGTATGTTTAAGTTCTTGTGAATGAAGTGCCACACTTTGGAAATGATTTTTGAATTAATCTAAAATTTTTATATGTTCTTCTCCAAGGCTATTTTCAAGATACTTAGTAGGATCAAATTTGGTGGCCAATTAATTGGTTAACTAATGAATTATGTTCCTTTACAACTGATGAATTATGTTCCTTTACAACTGTACTTTTGCTTAATTTCTCAAAATTTTGTAGATTAAAGTATTACATTCGCAGTATTTGATACACAACATTATTAAATGATTATTGTATTCATGATTTATAAAATATCTAATGCTCCAAGCTTCTTTCTCATTTTTGTAAATCAATTTCAAAAAATTAGACTCATCCAAAAGTCACATTATTTCTCTTTCTACGAGTCTATTTTTTAATTTCCAATAGAGATGACTCATCACAGGAGTAGTTGAATTTTTAAAAGTCGAAGTAATTGAATTTTTAAAGGTTACTTTTTATCCATCTACGTAGTCCGTGTTTGAGTTCTTTTTCAGTGTTTAGATTGTAATTTTAGTTATTTTACATATGAATATTTATGAGTTAGAGACCTTTTTTCAATTTAAACACTTGTTTTAACATTATGTTCACGTTTTGGTGTTTATTAAAAGAAAAAGATAATTTGTATTTTACTTTGTTTGATAGTAAATGCATTGAAATTCAATATCATAAAATGTTAATAAATTATAATTTTCATAAATTTCTTATCCTAAAAATTTAAAATGATGGTTGTGATTTAAGTTAGTGATTAATTTAGATTTGTTGTAACTATTCACTTATGTGAAACATTGTAAAATGGAAAATAAATAAAAGATAAAATAGACGGTTAGAAATACTAAAATTAGATCATAATTATAAATTATCATTTATAAATAATAAATAGCAACATTAACTATATTTATTCCCCTTTAGCAAGGATTTTTACTCTCTTATGACTATTTATTCTTAGAAAAATCTACTACTCTCTTCCATATTAACTATTTGAGACATATTTCAATTGTTTCAGAAACAAATTACAATTGGTGCTCTCTAAAATTTAATCTATTGGTATGTATTTTAAACAGTATGCGTATAAAGAGGATTTTGCTAAATGTTATGATCAATTAAAATGGTTAGAAATACCAACGGGTCAGTGGCCTAAGGGTTCAAGTCTCATGTGGTTTTATTTTTTAAAAATGTACAAAGTATTTTGATTTATTCATTGAAATAAATCAAATTCATTGTTATTTTATTAAACTTCATATGGATATCTTTTTTATTTTTTATTTCTTGTGGGGGAAAAATAATTTGTTCCCAAATTGAAGTCACAGGGTGATAGAATTCTCTCTAATATACAATTTTTCCATATATAGCCTAAAATATAATAGAATAGCATAGGAATCTATTGTGTGAGTGCTGAGCTCGTGGATCCAAAATTAGGAAGCCTTGACTTCTCAGATGATGGTGCTGAGATTGTTGATAAGGCCTTTTACGAGGGCATAGCCTTAAAAAGACGATTTGGAAATAAAAAAAAGTTATGTAATAATATTTTTAAAGTTAAAGTATACCATTTACATAAAATTAATTAAAATAATTACAAATAATTTACATTTTGTTTTCATAGTTGGTACTTATGCACATGTCTCTATTGAGATTTCTCTTTGAAAATAAGAGACTGATACTGTTAGGCCTAGCTAATTGGTTACAAATATACACACACGTGTGTATGCGTGTGTATACAGAGAGAAAGAGATAGAGGGTTCTCGGATGGGTTATACTTGTTAGGCTTGTTCCGGTTAAGGTTGGAGAGAGGTTTGGGTTAGGATATGATCTAAGGGTATTTAAGTCAACTAAAATATTAATTTTATATCAAAGAATAATAAAGTCAATTTACCATTGCCGGAGATCTTAGGGGTTATTGTATTTACCCTAAAATTTAGCATCATATACAATTTTGTCTTACAACTGGGATATAAAAAAAGCTAACAAAGAATGCTAAAACAAGTCATACCTATGAACAATTATGAATGCGTCTGTCTCTCAGTTACCAAACTAAAAAATAAATAAATAATTGAAAGGCAAATTCTTTGTACAATGGAAACATGGATTTACCCAAAAAAAAAAAAAAAAATCGTTGTATAATTTGGTTTGAAGCTCCTCTTGATCATACTCTTCTTATTTCCTAGAAGAGTATAAATGCATTGCAATTTGGACAGACCAAATTCAAATATGTTTCGAGCACAATTCAATATTTGAATAAACTTATGCATTTTTTTTTTCTCTCTTTGTTGCAGATTTCGATTATATTGAAACTTTTAGTTTGGCTTCAATTCCAGTTCTTTTCGTGTAGAGGTGTCAAGCAAATGGAGCGCAATCAAACGCCAATCTATTTTAATATTAATACAAACAATCAATTGATATATTAGTTGACTCTAGTCCAATCCAAGCTTAACTGAGTTTAAACAAATTGAACATTGAACATTGAAAATGCAAGAAATTACTCTCTATTTTAGGAAAGTATATTCTTGCACTCCGCACAATCGGCCTTTTTCCATCTCTCTAATTTATATTTATAGAAGTGCACATTTGCCTCTTTCAAAACTCTCAAAACTGGGCCTATCTTCATCTGGTTTTTTCTTTGGGCCTCAATGAATGGAGGACCCTTTAAGCACGTTGAAGGGGTTGGGCCTGGAGGTGGTTTAATAGAGCTTTGGGCCTGACGGGTCATTCTGCAACCGGACTAATGGGCCTTCTAAACTCTGGGTCGGTACATATCAATGTAAACCTCACACAATCAACTCCAAGTTCAACCGAGTCTCAAAAAAAAATATACTCTAGTTGAGTTTTACTTGGAGGGTAGGTTGGGTTGGAGCTCGCGGAATTATGATATTGCATTGGGCTCGACTAGATCCCTAAATGCACCAAACCCATCCATGGTTTAAGGTTTAATGTTAAACTTTGTTCTATGATAATAATTTTATTTTTAGTTTTATATATTTTTTCCTTTCAATAACTTAAAGTCTTTATAGTTTCAATATATATATATAAATACAAAACATGGACTTTTACAAGTCTAAGTAATTGGCCTATAAAAATTATTTAAATTTGTTCTTTTTTGGTTAAAATTTAAATTTGTTCTTTGATACTCAAAGCAAGAGCAAATTAGATATTTAAAATCTTTTCAATCATACGGTTTAAGTGAAATTTTATATTCTTTAATAGTTATTACATTTGAGCAAGAGGATTATTATTATTATTTTTTAAATGAAGTTGTTTATTATATGAATAATACTTGTCTCCTTATCTCGGACCACATGTAACTTCCTCTTCTGCATGTGTTCAGGGGCTAGTGTCCATTAAATATATATGGTTAAAAAAAAAAATACAAACATATGAAAATTTTAAGTTAATGCCCCCTTAAAATTACTAGTTTCTAAAATTATCTATTAATTTTCAGTGATTCTCTCTTTAAATTTCTTAAAAACAGTTAATTTCTCCTTCTTAAAATAAACTCTAATTTTTTTCCTACTAAATTCTTTCATTTTTTCCCCTTCTACTTCTTTAAATTTTTATCTTTTTCTGTTTTTTTACTTCTTTTTTTCTCTGAATTTTTTACTTGAACCTAAATCCCCGCTTCTCTGCATGTGTTCATTTTACAATTAAAATCTATTAAAATAAATTCCTCTATTATATTTAAAATACAAAATAAACACGTCTCATTTTAATTTTTAACCTTATGCTAAATCATTGGTAATAAAAGTGAAGAAAGTACATCATTGCAAGAAAGAACGTTTTTTTTTTTTTAATTTTATTTTGACCATGCTTATCTTAGGAACAAATTACAACACCAATTATTCATGTTGGGTCAAAATTAAAAGTGAAAGCCGAGCTGGATAGGGTGGGCTTGTAACTCAGCGGACAACGTTAAGTAAGGGTCAAAGTGCAATTTAGACACAAAAAGTGAAGGGAAAAGTGAAACGGCTTGAAGCTCCGGAGGGTTTCAGTCCAATAGAAGAAGTGGTGGAATCCAGTCCGAGGAGGAGGAGAAGCCGAAAAATGGGTTGGATAGCGGAGTCCGTCGATTCCATCAAATCTCTTCAGATCAGACAGGTCCTCACACAGGCCGTCAGCCTCGGTGCGTGTCTTCTCTAAACCCTACCACTCTCTATATCTCTATGTATGTATGATATCTATATATATATATGTATATATATATGATTTATTATATATCTCGACCCTTCTCCATGACAGATTCAAGAGTTTAATGTATTCTAATAAGTTTTCACTTGTTTAAGTACATGGGGATTTAGTATTCTGTACTGCCCTTAATTTCTCTCAGGCCTAAGCTTTGATCAGATCAAAAGTTCTGTCATTTGGTAGTTTATGAAAATTCACACACTTTATACAAAAAGAGGCACTCTTTATATACTAAATCATTGACTAGCGCATTCTAGTGGTATGGTTGTAAAGGACCTGAAGAAAAAAATAAATCAAATAAAGTTTTGAACTTTGGATTACAGAAAATAATAGCTTAAATTAACCATGCCCGACAGTTATTCTTAGGCTAAAAATCTAAATTGAGTGAAGGTTTTGTTATCTTGGGGTCCACATAATGAAATGTGCAATACTCAAATTTTAGTTTCATTTTCTTTATTTTTTTAGAAAAATTTTACTATAGTTGAATGCTATTTTGATATTTCATGATTGACTTTCTAAGGTCGAGTTAGCAGATTGTCTGGTGCTTTTTAGAGTGGATAACTGGAAAAAATTTCTGAAAGAAATGCAAAAAATAAAGAAGAATAGATGAAAAAGCTTGGTCAATGACTGCCAAAAAGAACTGAAATGAAAGATTTAAATCCAGCACTGGTTTTTGTTGGTAATGAAGATTTGAAAGCAATGTGAAAGTTTAGATGTGTACTTGAACAGGTGCTGCTTATTCTATTGTGAAGTCGAGTATAGTTTATGGTGCACTTTGTTTGAATGGTTGGCTTCTTTCATTTTATGGTAGGATGTAGTTTCTTTTTATTTTCCTTTTTCTTTTCAGTGAGTTAGATTACATTAAGGTAGGCGGTACCAAGCCCCTACTTCCTAAAGAGAGGTTAGGGGTTCAAACCTCAGTGGAGACGATGTGTGTGTGAGTACTAACTAAGAAAAAAAGTTAGATAAATATTTTTCCCCTGGCAAATAAGATTTGAAATTTTGTATGATTAATTCCATGCACCAATTATCTCGTATATACTTATTAATTTTAAAGGTTAATGCTTTACCATTTAGATAGAAGCCGTATGGCGGCTGGAAAGAAAGACGCAGCTTTTTCTTCCTTGTCTACTGGTCCTGTGGTTGTTGATATGAGATCAAGGGGTTTGTGGTTCTTAATTTGGTTCATTTCGTGTCTTGCCTCCACTTTAACAATTGAGAAATTATTTTTTATTAAGTTGAAGGAAAATATTTGTTATACAAATGGGTTTACTTTTGTTGTAAAATCTGTAGTCGTGAATAATGATCATGTTGTCATGGTTTGTCATTCTATCTAAATAAGTAATCTTTTTTGGTTTCTGCTTCAGGTATGATAGTGACATCTGCACTAATAATATGGAAGGCTTTGATGTGCATTACTGGCAGTGAATCTCCTGTTGTAGTTGTTCTTTCTGGAAGCATGGAACCTGGCTTCAAGCGGGTAAGAAAAGCTTTATATCCTTCTTGACAAATATTACCAATTTGTCCTTTCTTGTTGCTTGATCTTTGACTTCAGAAATGACTAACACTAAACTCACTTTTAACATATTTCTATCTAACTAGAAATCAAAACAAAAATACATTAAGTAAGTTTTATTCTACGAAATTTGCCCACTTAGTCTTATTGGCCTAACAATTTCTAACATTATTAACAAAACTCTAATATATCCATGATATATTTAATATTCTTAGACATCACCAAGGTGAAAACTAGCGGATGCATGATTACTCTGTTTGATGAATGGAATCTACTGAAAACTCAGGTACTGGCTACTGCAAAAGGTATAATAATAACAACAAAAAATGCAGCATCTGTAGTTTCTCAAAGATCCATTTATGGTATGTTGGCTTTGATTGCCCTTGGAGCACTATACAAAATCAACATTCAGTGTATGTGTGGAACAGTAAAATGCTTCTTGTTTGTATTTTTGTGTATAGTTATTGTTTTTATATCGTTATTGATCATGTAGGTGGGAGATGTTTTGCATCTTGCCAATTGGTAAGCAAAATTTAAAGTATGTTTAAAAAGAATTTTGTTGCCACCTATAATGAAATTTAAGTGGGTGCATCTTTTCTGTTCTTTCAATTGAATCAATCCTTCCTGCTATGGTACTTTAAAATGGCGCAAAACATAGGTGGAGTAAAGTAGTTCTCACTAATAATTGATTCAGAGCCAAAAATAATATGCTAGCCATCATTGGCATGGTGCTTGAAAATAAAATAACCTACTGCATCTCACAAAATTTTATTGTAGAGAATTAGGGCAAAAGAAGGTTCTTTTGCAGTGAAGTATTTTATAGTATAGTTGCATGTTTCTCTTCAAATTTCTTCTTTTGGCACTACGTATTCCTTAATTAAATGATATCCACGAATTTCTTCCGCAGGGTGACATATTATTCTTGCACATGAGCAAAGATCCTATTCGTGCAGGGGAAATTGTCGTGTTTAATGTTGATGTAAGATTTCTTTCTCATTTCATTTATCTTCCCTCGTTTGTTTCGATTTAGTTGTATTCATATTCAGTGATAGGCATGTCTGAACATTCATTCTAACTTGTCTCATTTATTTTATTTGGAGCACAATTTGAATTTCTGTAACATGGGAAAGAGCTTCCCCTTGGTTTTGCATATGTTTTTAATTGTGTTGTGAATGGATTAATGAGAAGCTTAGTGTTTTGGATGATTTATCTTGTATGCAATATTTTGCATGGAGAAATATCACTTTTTTCCGGATTGGCTATGGAATTAATCATTTTGTAAACCCCTAGCTTTTAGAGCCCTAATGGACATTACTTAATTTTTTTTTTTGGTTTATGCTGGTCTCAGCACTCTTGTTCACCCTGCACTTTCAAACTTGTAACATCACCTGTTAATGAAGATAAGTTCTGGAAACGCATTGCAACATCATAAGTTCACTACCTTTTTATCATCTTTATTACTTTTTGATGAAGGTCTTCCTGTTGATTGGCAGATTGGGACATCTAAAACTTTGTAATGAAAAACGTTTTCAAAGAGTCGATGTTTAAGCCTTTTGCAATATCAAGATTTAAGTATCCACTTTTGTAGGGCTAGCAATTTTAAAATTATTCCGTTGACCATACCCTAATTCAATAGCCCAATAAACAAAATGGTTGGTTAGATTTAACTTCATGCCACAGAGCCTAAAACCAGGCCAACCAGAGCTTGACAAATTGCCGTTCACACCCACTGCTTCATAGAGGGTAAACATGATCTATTTAGTAGAAGCTTTTAAAAAATCATGGTGGTTTTGTCCATCACTTAAACATGTTCCAATATCTTGATGTCTGTAATAGCATCCACAATTTTTGTTTTTTTGGGTAAGAGAGTTATTTTGAAGAGCAGCTAGAAGGTTTTGGTATTTCTTTTTAGTAAATTGTGTACTTTGGAGCTTTTAGCCTTGTAGGTTTTACCCCAGCTACAAGGTGTACTGGGTTAGGGGGACACACTGTCTTAAAAGAAAGTTGTACACTTTGGCTTTTTTTTTTTTTTTTTTTTGCTTTTCTTTTGGTAAGTCTTAATCCATTTTTATGGTAGATAGAATGCTTCAGGTTGACATTGTGTTATGATTTCTGTTGTAAGTAGATTAAACTTTTTTCTGTTAACATCTAGTCTTTTTTTCAATCATCAATGAATATCATCTATATAAAATTTAGTTGTGTAAACGGACTTAAAAAAGGAAGAATAGTAAGCAATAATGTCTGCATCTTGCAATATGATAGCTAGTGTGTTCGTGCTTATTTTTTCAAGTTGACTGCAACCCGACTGGAAAGGCCTCAAGTTAATGAGAAAATCTCAATGGTGCTAGATAAAGGGAATTTGAAACAAAGTTAAATGTAGCTAATTGTACATGATTGAGCTACGAACTAGTTTAATAGAGTTAATTACTTCTTTATAAAGAAGCTTGTAAAGGTTTCTACATTTCACTCCTGTGGAGCTACTCCTTAGCTAGTGGGTAGGGTGATTGTATTAGAGCTTATGTCTTTACCTAGTTGACTACCTTTCAAGTGTAACAAAAAGACTTAGATTTAGTCTTTTGGCTTACCGAACCATCTGTTAGCTTGGTGGGATTACTTGTCACCCCCAAAGGAGAGTGCAGGGTTCAAGTCCCGGTAGGGACGTGGCTGTCTTTTTCTTACTAACAGAGAAGAACAAATAAAAAAGTAAGTCTTTAAAACTTTACACAACAAATTCCTTAACATATTGGAACTAGTTAAGTTTATGTACTTGGACTTAGGTACTTGTCACGGGTGCGGGTATCTGTCCAGCTGTTGGATTGATCAAATCTTCAAATAGAAGGACATAGACACAACTAAATATTTAATAATATAATTTTATTTTTTAGAGAAAATAACGCTCTCATATAACACGAGTTTGAAATAAGCGTTTAACTCATTTTGAAGTAATGATATTATTTTAATTTGAAGAATCATTTCATTTTTCAATTGAAATATATTCCTCAATATAAGTTATCTCTATTTAACTTTCCAATTGAAGTCTATGGCTCCAAATAGTTTATCTTTTTGTAAAAATGTTCTTTCTATGAAATATTTGTTTTGGGTTGGGTAGATTAAACCTATTATCTTATCTTTGTTGTGGATTCTGATTTATTATAGTCTTCAAATTTTTCTTTTTTTGCTTTTCATTTTTCTTGTATAGATGTTTACTTATCTGTCTTTTGTGTCACGTTTAATTCTTTCTGCATGTGTGCATAAATTGGTAGATATATACATTTATTTGTGTTATTGGTGTATGTGTGTTTGTTACGCACCTGACACTTTTGTTCTTCTACTAATTTTGTTAATATGATCTCTTTTTGTTCAGGGTCGTGAAATTCCAATCGTCCATCGAGTAATAAAGGTAAACATAAGTGACAGACCTTTTCCCTTTTCCCTCCTATATATTATAATGCATTAGAATCATGAAAATTACCTTTTGTTTTGGCTTTATTTATGGTTAAAATAAATGTGATCATAAGTAATTCTTGTTTACCCATACACTTGTGAAGTGCGTGCGTGCACGTGCGAGTGTATGAGCCAAATAAATGGAAGTATGTATAATATGTTTAACTCTTCTCCTTATAGGTGATGTTTTGACTCAAATAAATAATTTTGAATTTATTTTGTATGTTCAGAATAACCAGTGGATTATGCCAGGGATACGCGATGCATTGATTTCTTAATATTTTATGATCTATTGATGTGAGTTTCAAAAGTTGGTTCAGTTATTTAGATTAGAATTTACTTGAGATCCATGTACTATGGAAACAATGTGTTTAAAGATCAAAAAGGTAAAAAAGGTTAATTCATTCTTGAAATTCCAACTTACCAAATTAAGGTTCACATGCATTCATCTATTTCGTGGAACATGTTAGGGTTGTCAAACTGCATGTCATGATCTTTGAAGTTGAGAGTTTAAGAATGTATTAAACTGTTTTTGAATATTAAAATCCTAATAACTTACTGGGGAATAAATAAATAAATAATTATAATCCTATAGAACTGCGTCTGAGATTTCGATCGATCAGAACTTACTTGCCTAGGTTTGATCGTTCGAACTTGGAGAGCGTATTGCTTGAAGGCCACTAGAACAAGTTCGATCAATCGAACTTTGAGCTCAATCGATCAGAAGAAAACTGATTTGGAAACTCTCTAAAATCAGAATTCTAAAAGATTTTGTTTTCATTTTTATATAGGAATTTTATATTGGCTATGAATATGGAGTAATAGTTGGTCTAGGGTATGCTCTTGCTCCATATGGTTTTACATGAACATTTAAAGAGATTTGTTTGTAGAGACCATCTAGGCAGTAGGCACATAGATTGCATAGTTTTCTTTTCATCATTTAGTATCAAGCAAGTTATTATCCAAAATGTGGAGTCTGAATCGTTATCAACACTAAATGACAGACTACCGAATGTTACTGGTCATGGACGTCAAAGCATGGGTGAAAGAGTGGGTTGGGTGAGGAGCGGATTTGTTGACTAGCAACAATGGGGATCAATAGGATTCCCTTAGTGAGTCTGGATAAGAGGTATTTGGGGATCCTTGTGTTAGAGTCTGGTTAACCTAGTTGTAAATCTTTCTTCTAATTAGTGGATTAAATTTGTCTAGATTGGGTCTGTGGTTTTTTCCCGTCGGGATTTTTCATGTAAAAATCATGTGTTTATGTGTGGTCGCTTTGTTATTTATCTTTGTTTTTTATACTTTGAATACTTTATTTTGCTGTGTTTAAAATATATATTTGCTAGAATTTAAAAAGCAGTTATTATTAGTTAAAAATTGAATAAGATTTATTCATCCCCCCTCAATCTATTTTAGGGCATAACTCACTCTAACTATTGGAGCCATGAGTTACAGGATACTTGATACTTCACTTGCTGTTGTATATGTTTCATGGAGAGCCCCATTTAGCTTGAATATTATTCTATTAGAGACATAACTCCATTCTTTCACACAAGTAAACAACACTTCAAAATGCTGCATGCCATATTCAGATTTTGGGTTTTGTCAGTTGGACACCTTATATATGTATAAACATCTTGGGATGCAAAATCCTTGTCCTCATTCAGAGATCATGTGGCCCATTCTTAAATTTGAATGCGTTTTTTGAATAAAAAAGATAAGAATGTGCATTTTCTTTTTTCATTAAATTCACTAGTATTATGGAAAAGTTCACTTGTGAAGGTGTGATTGCATCACTACTACCTTTTCTCTTAATTAGTTACCATCTTCAGTACTCCTGGTGAGTTTGATTATAATTCTTGTGTTTTAGAAGGAATGAATTTGTTAATTGGTGTCTAGGATCTTCTCACCAACTTTTGAGAATATTGCAAGTGAATATATGTCAACCTTTTGATATGCATTCTTCTCCACCTGATTAAGATATTCAGAACTGGTTGACTTGTAATCAATTGAGAAGTAACTAAAATTTTGAATGTACCGTGTTCGATAAATCAAACTTCTATGGAGTATCAGTTGTTTTAAAGATCTGAGGATTCTTTAATTACCCGACTCTCAACCTCTAGATGGTGATCTCCCAACAAAAGTAACTCCAATCATCTGGTTCGGTTACTTTTTCTTGTATCCTGGGAAATGCTATGGGAACTTTAATAGATTCTACTGTTGCTTCAATTCCTCTTGAAGAAAGCTTACTGTTCAGATGAAATATACCAGTAGCTATTAAATTTCCCAGAAAACTCCACGATATGTTTTGAGTGAAGGCAAGCTTCCTAGGCATCACATCAAGAATATTTGCTTCTTATCCAGTTATCCCCCTTACCAGAATAAAATTCCTCCACGATTTTTTTTACTCTATTATTCACAGGAAAAACTCAACATTTTTGAGTCAAGGAAATGTTTTTAGATATCACATCACCACTTCTCACTTCCCATCCCAGAATAGTTCAGAAGATGGTTACTTCTCATCCCACTTCCCAAGTTATGAGAAATCTCTCCAGGACTTCTTTTACTCTATTACCAAATTTGAACAGGATTTGTAGATAAACAAAAAATTACAGAGATGCTAGCAAAGTTTGAATTGAAAATAATGGATTGATTTTTGTTGATATAGTTGTTATTCAAATTCTTTTAATTGACTTGGTGTAGCAATGCAAATTCTAATAGTTAATTGTTATTTTCAGGTTCATGAACGGCAAGATACTGGCGAAGTTGATGTCCTCACAAAAGGTACTAGCTTATTGATAACAAATTTGTACTCCAGAATGCGAATGGTGCCTCTTATGATGATTTGTGTTCTTGATTGGGGAAATTGTCTGGGAAGTCATATGAGAATTTAAGACAAAAGGCCGGATTGTATTGTCATTATGATAACATATATTGTTACTCTGCATTATTTTTATCTGTATTTACTGTTTTTTTATCATTCTCGTGATATAAAAATTGGGCACTTTCTAAGTTGACCGTCTGCTGTTACCCATTAACCTACAAATCTATAAATTGCTTATTTTCCCAGGGGATAACAATTATGGGGATGACCGACTTTTGTATGCTCATGGACAACTCTGGCTTCAGCGACACCATATCATGGGCAGAGCTGTGGGGTAATTCTCCAGTGTTGACCTTCTTTTTATCTGCTACATATGCACCTATCTAACATGAATGAAACATCTTTAAGAGTTAAGACAAATCCATATTATGAAAACACCGTAGCATGGTTTAACTTACAAGTGTTCTAACCACTTTAAGATTCTTTGGAACAAAGTAGTTCCAATTCATTTTCTTCTACTTTGGGCAATTCCTTGACAACTCATGGATCAAATGCATCCCTAGGAAATGGAGTACAAATAGAAGATCCTTTGCAAATTGATGGTAATAGAAGTTGAAACTTCACTGGGATTGTATTCTGTGCAATGAAAATATTTTTAGTTTTTAATGCTTTGAGGAATAGAGCGGCTACTTTGAGTGCCTTGTAAATTGCCACAAACAATTTTATCTTCATGCGAAGCCAAAGGAAATTCATTTGTATCTGGCTAGCCAGTTACATTATGGACTTGTGGGTAATATTTTATTTCTCATGTTGGTTCTATACCTCAAATATTGGCCCAGCACTAGGTTTAAGGCAGAAGAAAATTTGCGAATTCCATTATCTGCTCACAGTGAGATTCCTAATAATTATTGAATTCATGGATCATAAATGTTTTTATAATTTATTAGTTCTAGCATGTTTAAATAGAAAAATTAGAGCATGACTCCATTTCTTTTTTCCATTTCCAGGTTCTTACCTTATGTTGGATGGGTGACAATTATCATGACTGAAAAGCCTATTATAAAGGTCAGCTTCTCCAGAATACTTTGTTGGCATTTGAAATCGAATTTTATTGTGTCATCTACCATTTACCCATTTTGATCATCAGTAGTATTAAATGTGTTTTAAGTTTTGAAATGTTCTTACAAAAAATTGATTGTTTAATTTCCTTTCCTACAGTATATACTTATTGGGGCTTTGGGTTTGCTCGTGATTACTTCGAAGGATTGATGAATGAAGTTGAAGGTGCCGGTGGGACAAAAAATGGTCATTGTTAGCAACAGCTGCTATTCTCTTGGTGGCTTTTGTCATCCTTTCTACATTTTTGTCCAAGGAATAGTTCGTTTTGAATAGATGAAAATGACTCAATTGCTGTCACTGGGATTGTTGACATGGTTACTTATTAACCACAGACCTGTTTATGTTATGAACTTGATCACATGATTTCTTCAATGTTTAGCTTATTGGAGCTATATGCACCTTTTCCTAGGAAGCTCATTAGGTCAAAACTAGTGTGCGTTTTTTCTTAGTGTCGTAGGAGGGCCTTCGATGGAGAAAGAGAGAAAAGAAATGAGAATTTGCAGTTAATAGTTGATCGTTTTTTTTTATCATATCAGTTTTTTCATTCTAAAAATATTTTTCTCCAACAATTTTTAATCTTCAATGGCGCCCCCCTCAAAAAAAATTTCATAATATATATATTTTACATCCAAACACACCATATGATACACATTACAGTTGGTGTGTGATAGTGACCAGGTAACAGAGAGTGGCATTAAGAAGACGTGGTTATCCGGATACGCCTTAAAAATCCTTTGGATTGCAAGTACAACACGTTACACCATATAAGCTATTGAAACGTGTATTGTTTGAAACCAAATTCTTTAAATTGGAAATGCAATTGAATTTAAAATGAAGTTCTATTTACACCATATAGGATGAGGTGAAGTTTAATTATAGAAGGAATATTTCTTTGACTTGTGTTTATTAATTAGAATTGCAACATTATGTTTTACTTAAAAATAAAATACGAGCAAATTGAATGAGTTACAAATTAGCTTGTAAGTAAAGTAATTTACAATTCGCATTGAATTTCAACAATTATACTACCGAGTCTTCTGTGTCAAATATTTCTCTTCCATTTTTTTTTTTTTGGTAGAATTCCATTGTTCAGTGTTATTAGATCGATAGGTGAGCTCTGTGTTTTTTATGTTTTGTTTGGTGGCATGGAAATTACACATTAAAATTAGAAATTGGAGAAAAATTATATTAACCTTTGAACTGATAAGCATTCAATTATATTAACCTAATTATATTAACCTTTTTCTCTGGCTTCTCTCTAACCCTCAGCCGCCTCTCCTTTGGTTTCCTCTCTTCTGCTCCCCACTCCCTCCTACGTGAGTGGGGAGGCGCCGATCCTTTCCTCCCACTGCTAAATAAACTAGACGTGGTACATTAAGTTCGCTCAGTGGGTGGGTTTCATATCGTTTTGCTATTGTTTTGTTAAATCTGTTCTTGTTTGGCTTACTTCTGGCTCGATAGGGTGGATTTGTTGTTTTGTCTCCGGCTAGATCTTTGATCTATGTCGGGTTTTGGTGTCCTCGCCTTTTTGTGCGGGGTTTGGGTGGTTTTTCCCTAGTCGGCGGTGCCTTGTTGATGCAGCCTTGGAGCTATTGCCTTGATGATGGCCTGACCTTTGGGTCACTCCCGTTGCTGCTCTTCTCCCTGGGTGGTCCGCTGGTGTGTTTTGTCTTGTTACTCAATAAATCGAAGGCTTGTTTTTCAGTTTTTTTCTTTTATTGTTTCTTGATTTGTTTGCATTTGAACGGTGTTTATGGTCGTGTTTTTGTAATTATCGTATGACTGTTTTTCTTGCCAAAAAAAAAAAGCATTCAATTATAACTTTGAAAATCATATTTCATGTACCCAAAAATAGCATTAGTGTTTGTCTTGAATGAATATATTAAAGCCATAAGTACAATTAGGGTGCACTATATACATGGTTTTGTTTTACAGAGTAAGTTTAAGGGTGTGTTTGGATAAATAGGGGAGAAAAGAAAAGAAACGATAGTATTAGTTAGAAGAGAAAAGAAAAGAAATGATAGTAATAATTTTTATTCGTGTTTGGATAGATAGGAGAGAAAAGAAATAATGTTTATTCGTGTTTGGATAGATAGGGGAGAAAAGAAATGAAATGATAGTTATTCTTGTTTAGATAAGATAGATGGAAGAAAAGAAAAGAAAATATAGTGACCAAATTACTATCCTATCCTTTCATAACTACTTCATATACTATCCATTTCCAAAATCTTATTTCTTTTTTATAGTTCAATGCCATGAGTAAAAACAAAAATAAAAAATAAAAATAATAGATGAAAACAAAATTAGGTGGGACTCATTCATTCGCTGCCTTCTCAAAATAAACAACAGCCTACTCAAGGTTCTGTTCAACCTCATATAATTCAGTAATTTCCTGCACATGAAGTAAGTATTCCACGTCATCATTTTTCACAACTTTTATTGTATCATCTTGAGCAACGATCATACAAGTGTATTCTACATAATCATAATTTGCAAGAGTCAAACATCGATACATATGCAAATTAAAATTATGGCAAACAAGGGTGACATTAAAGGAAATTTTGTTCAAATACAGGATTCTAAAATCTAGAGAACCCAACCAAGAATTTGATAGATTAGAGATCCCAAATATAACACAATATGAGTAGGTAATAAGGTTTTCTATTATTGTATCAAGTAAAACAATATTTACTCACAAACAAGTATGGATAGTACCTTGTATTATCTTGCAGACATATTAAGCCTCCCAATTTCGAGAAACTGATTTACAGCTTGCTCTAGGCAATTTATGGACTCTGCAAAGTATCCAATGTTAAAGAGGAGCATAAATTCTTCTAGCTTAAAACGGAAAAAAATAATAATGATGAAAGAAGAGGCTAATACTTCATGTGAATCACTGAAAGTTTAAAAGAGTACAATTAAAAAAGAAAAAGTATCACAAGGCTAAGATGAACCATTCAACATGGTTGAAGATAACAGCAGTCTTTAACCTTTTTTATGAGCATGTGAAAAGTTTATTTTTGTTGTATTTGTTATACTTATCCGACTCACTCCCTTCCCATCCTAAAATTTTTAAATCTGAAACTTTTCCTCAACCTAAACCACACTGTAGAGGATCTGTAATATAAACAATGATCATAACTATAATTATATAATTGGGACATAAATGAAATTACTTTTCTGTATGTTGATTTGTAAAGGATACTTTTAGTATTAATAATTTATAACTTACTCCGCTATCATCCCTCTCCCTATCTTCTCAAATTGGGAGAGAGCATATAAGGGATAAGGAGGGATCTCTCCCTATTATCTCTTTTCTCTCCACTAAACCCACCCAAACACATTCTCACACTATCCTTTATTTTCTTTTCTCTCCCTATCCCTCCAAATCAACCACACCAAACACACCCTAAATGATAACTATGTTTAGCCTAAATCAAGTCTCGCAACTTTTATGAATTTATCTAAATTTTCCTCTATTACCTAAGTACATTTCTTGTTTTCAAAATATTATAGTAATATATAGCAATAATGTAACATGTCATTTACCCAAAAAAAAAATAAAAAATTTAAAGGTAACGTGTCAACATTAAAATCAGAATTTTATTTGATACATTTCTGTGAATGAAGAATAAGGTTAGGAAAAAGGAATGTATATATATAATATCGGATTAGAACTATGCCATTTGGATACACAACATGGAAATACGAGACTCGGGGTCGATTTTATATTTATGTACCAAAATGACGTTGTTTGGCGAATGTGAACGCAATTGACATTTGTCTAATGACCTAACTAATGGAGCATCTAGCTTCCCTATCCGTCTGTGGTCAAGTGTCCGATTCTTAATTTATTGGGATATAAAAATAAAATAAAATAAAATAAAATAAAAAAGATAAAACAAAGGAGAAGAGTAGGGGACCCACTTCCCTTTCACAATGGTCTTGTGAAAAAATTTCCCTTCCACAATGTACATATTTGAGCAGTTCATAGTTGCTTATGGTGCGACCAAGTAGTACAGGAGGTTAAAACAGCCCACACACATTTAAACCAAAAAACCTAAATACCAATCCAACCCAAACACCTCCGCCACCCCCACCGGCTTGGTGTTTATGTAGTCTGAAGACTCTTTAGAGGGCCAAAACACACAGACAGAGAAGTATACACATACATGGGGATGTGCATCCAAATGAGCTCCTTCCTCACACGGTAATCTCATCTCCTTTCTCTATAATAGTTAGAAACAGTAGTGGCAAATTCACAAGATCATAGATGAAGCATTCATAATACCTCTATCCGGAACCGGAAATACGAACCCTTATTAGGGTTTTACGTTCATCATTTCTGGTGGGTCCATTCTAGGGTTTCATTTTCATTCGATTGAAACAGTAGGTTGGTGCCTCACATTTTGATCTACGTCTGCTTCAATTCTGTTGATTACTGGGTTATTCAATTTTCGTCATGTGTATTGAAGATTTTTTGTTATTTTGGTCAAAAACGTTGATTTAGTCGGTGGGTATGTTTCTTTTTGAGACAAGTACCAGAACATGCTATCTCTGCGCCTAATTCGCAGATTTGGTACCGCAACCCAGGTCGCCTCAGCCATTGTATCTGCTGATAACAGCATTGCTAGCACTGCCACTGCCACTACCACTACCTCTGGTGTTATTCCGAATCGCATTCAAAAACCCACTACTTTAGAGGAACCTGCACTTATTAAGCTAAAGGCTGAGAGAGACCCCGAAAAGCTGTTTCAGCTGTTCAAGGCTAATGCCCACAATAGGCTTGTCATTGAAAACCGGTTTGCATTTGAGGACACTGTTTCTCGATTAGCTGGGGCACGTAGATTTGATTACATAGAGAACCTACTAGAGCACCAAAAGACACTTCCGCAGGGTCGGCGTGAAGGCTTCATTATTCGGATTATAATGTTGTATGGGAAGGCTGGAATGACTAAACATGCTATCGATACTTTCTGTGATATGCACTTAAATGGTTGCCGCAGGACCGTTAAATCATTTAATGCTGCACTGAAGGTATTGACACAAACCCGTGATTTAGAAGAAATTGAATTGTTTATCAGGGAGGTTCCATCTAAGTTCGACATTGAATTAGATATATTTTCAGTTAATATCCTTATCAAGGCATTTTGTGAAATGGATATACTCGATAAAGCTTATTTGGTAATGGTAGAGATGGAGAAGGTGGGAATAAAACCAGATGTTTTTACGTATACAACACTAATATCGGCATTTTATAAGAAAAATCGATGTGAGATTGGTAATGGATTGTGGAACCTTATGCTGCTTAGGGGCTGTTCACCCAACCTTGCAACCTTCAATGCTAGGATACAGTTCTTAGCGAACAAGGGAAGAGCATGGCATGCTAATAGTTTAATGCAAATGATGAAGAATAAGCGTATAACTCCTGACGAGGTTACATATAATTTGGTGATCAAAGCCTTTTGCCGCGGTGGTTTTCTTGAAATGGCCCAATGGGTTTATTCATCTTTACATGATAAAGGTTACAAGCCCAACATCAAGATTTATCAGACCATGATTCATTATCTCTGTAAAGGAGGTGAGTTTGGTATTGCATATACAATGTGTAAAGACAGCATGAAAAAAAATTGGTTTACGAATGTAGATACTATCCATACGCTACTTGAAGGCTTGCAGAAGAATGGGAAGCTTGCAGAGGCTAGGTTTATAATGACTTTGGCACGAAAAAGAAAACCTCCTTTTTCTGCAGATCAATTGGGTGCCTTGCAATCCATATTGTCGGGGAAGTGAAATAGAATGCTAGATCAAAAAGCAAGTGAAATAGAATGCTGGGTTGAAAAGCAAGGATAGTGAATTACTAACGTGGCAACTCAACGCGAGCTGCTATTCTTTTTACTCAAAGCATGTCCTCTTCTGCTCAGTAAATTTGTTGTACTGTCTCAATAAAGATCCAGATCAAAAGAAAGTTCTAAATGGATAGTACTCACCAATGTTCTTGTAAGTTTTTGTGCAGTGACTTTGTGTGTGTGTGTGTGTGTGTGTGTGTGACAATCTTCCCTTCTTACTATATTAGCAACTCCCTTTGAGTTCTAAGTTTGATAAGGTGGAAGGTTATTTCTGAGATTTAGCATGCGTTCATTGTTTTCAGATTGGTGGAGCAGAACGGAATGGTCAATGGAAAGAAAGCAAATTCTCTCTTGCTAAATGTTAATCAATTGGTAATTTTTTAAACTGTTTGATCATTTATGTTTAGTTTTAGCAAGTTACTGATTACATTACAGCTGTAAGAATTTAGATTGTAATTTTTGTGTCTAGTGTCAAAAGGACGTTTTTATGATTTATAAGCTAGCATTTGAGACTGAGAGTTTAAACATGTATGATATTTTTAAAATTGTATAGGTCAGTTGACAATGACAAAAGCCACTGGGTTATGGTAGTAGGTACAATGACAACTTGCCCGCTTTAACTGATCCTCCTCGTATCTAATGTTATTAAAGGGTGAAAAATATTGATTTGTACCAAATTGGAGTTTGGAATAAATCATAGTGTAGAGGCAGGGTTTCACTTAGCAGGAACTTCTAAAGCATGAAGTATATGCATGATGCTACTTATTTACAAGAAAATGTCCCAAGACAATCCAATAAATCCATGTAAGTAATAAAGATATTAAACATCGCGTATTTACTTAATCCTTTTTCTTCCATCTGCAAAAAATAATACGAAAAGTAATTATATCAAAAGACACAGGCAGATATATTTTACTTTCTCAAAATCAAGATAGTAATTTGATGTTGGATGAGATGTGAAAATGTTGCGGTTAAGTGTTATATAATTTTTGTCATTTATACTTCCTGGTAAGTGTTGCCCATTTATAATATTTGTTTAAATCAATGGTTCTATCAATGCATAAGGGATTGCATTGTAGAATGGGGCCCAAGAATTTGAAAGAGGTTACAGGCATTATAATGATTCTTAACGTATCAAGCATAACGAAATATATACAGCTTGTATAAATGAAAATGAGGACAGAACAGTGATGTCTTAGTTTTGTGAATAAATTTTGTGTTTGTGTTGTTAATCTGATAATTATTGTAAAATAAACACCCTGAATCTAGAGCCGCTTGGCGTTCCAACCCAGTTCCAACAATGCACTTCTCGGACTGAGAAAGCGGAATTGCTTGGCGTTGCATATTAGAACTCATTAAAGCCCGATTTGCATCATTATGCTCGATAAAAGGAATGAAATTTAGGTGTAGTTTTCATGTTTTTTACATGCATTCTGTTTTTAGTTGTGCTCTCTTTGGATTTTGCCCTTACACATAGGTCTCTAAGCATTTCCTGGACGGAGGCTAGCTATATTTATCTATAGCGAACCCCTTGGGAGAATAGGCAAGTACTGTAGAATCATAGGGTACTTAAGAATTGTTTGGTTTATTCCTTGAAATTTGGGCGTACTTGCAAGTGTTTCAGAAGGGTCCAGTTACGTGAGTGCATTAATAATTTGGCAAGGGGTTTTCCTGCTAGGATGCTTAAATGCAGAGCAAGAGCAATAGTGCAAGAACAGTGAGTTTTAGTCCACAGCATCTCACTGCCTAAAAACTTAAAAATACATATGTATATATAAGCGAACCCCAAATAGTTGGGCGAGATTTTGTTGATTTCTTGAAATCACTGTAATAGCCAAAATCACAGATCAGAGGGAAGCTTGCTCTTCTATCCTGCGAATTGAGCATCTTAGGTTTGATGGAGGAGAACACAAAGGATAAAAGTGAAATCAACCATATATGTTGAAAATAACTTCTTGGTCTAAATATTTATAGACTCCATATATCATATATGAAATACATTTAGACTGCCAGCTGTTGACTTGAGGCGTATCTCCTGTCACCCTATGGAACGTGTAGGAATGAAGTCTCACTTGGGATACAGGTGTGTGTTTATTACGTGCGCACGGCTCTGTGTGTTTATAAAGGTAAAAAGAGAATTCCCAAGTATTATAAATGTGGCAAAGTAAGTCACTATGAAAATAAATGGTCTATAAAGAAAAACTGAATGAACTAAACATGAATGGAGAATTAAGCAACAAGTTTCCGATTAGGTGTAGTATATGGCTATATTCAAAGTGGTCTTAACTTATCAAAAAAAAAAAAAAAAGTGGTGTTAAACCCTTGATGCAGGTGGTTGTTTTGATTGCGTATCTTTGCTAGGAAGTGTGCAACTAATTTTGCTTCTTGGTAAAATTTTGAAATTGAATTTAGTGAAACTATGAACAATGGTTTGCGGTTATAACGGATGACTTGAAAGAGAACAGAAATTTGATAACATGTAGTATGACTGAGTATATGGCCTTGGATATAGCAGAATGGAAAAATATGATCCATGTAGTAGACCAGGTAGTTGGGAAAAGGCTTTGTTTGTTGTTATTATGGATAGCTTTGCAAAGGGCTGAGATTAACTGTTAGGAAACTTGATTCAAAGTGGTCTTGTTAAACTGAATTACAAAGTTTGCTTCTTGGCAGAATTTTGAAACTGAATTCAAGTGAATTTTGAACAATGCTTTGAGGATGTTATGGATGGTTCGAAGGCAACTATGGTACTTCCACAGTGGAAGGGCAAGGGTTTAAGTCCTCGTAGGGGCAAAATGGGTGTGTGAGTTTCTTGCCAAGGTCAAAAAAGAAAAAAAAAAAAGAAAAAAAAATGTATGGCCTTACAAAGGGCTGAGATTAGATTTAAGTAGTTAGATTCTATTATAGTATTGGATACTTGATTCTCCAAATTGAAGCTGAATATTTTGACATGGTGACAGTTTTTGTGGTTGGACCAATATTTGTTGCGGACAAAGGAATACCTTCATACTCTTGCTAAACCAGGTTAGCATCATATGCTTATAAGATTATTTTTTGGGATGCCTAACATGTAGTATCTATTAAAGGAGTGCACGAAATAGGGACCGCCTTTCTTAGGAAAACCAAAGATCATTACCAGGTTCTCAATGTTTAGAGGTTTAAACTGAGTAGTAACCTAACCTTTCGTTTTATCTGTAAAGGGAATGATCTCAAACTCGAATCAGGTTCCTACCTGTGACAGTCGACTTTAATCATTGCACCAAGTGACAGCCTCTACTTTTTCTTATAATGTGAGTATATTACTTGGAAAGACAATGACTAAGTGGGGCATATTAGACTTGTATGGACTTTGAGATGAGAAATTAATACCAAAAGGAGAGGACACACAAATAAGGTTTAGGCTGGGCTTCTTCAAAGAGTAAGCAATATGTGGAGTGGGTGTCTTCCAATTGGATTGGTTGTGGTTACCAATATTTCATGTAACAAATGAAACTTATTTTACCACATGTGCATGTGTTTTATGAATGTTTTATGTAATAAATGTGAACTGATTTTACCAAAAATTTGCCCGCGGGCTGTGGTTATTACAATCCAGTATAAGATTTTTCAAAATTGAGTAATAAGAAAAGTTATGCTTTTTATTAGAAGCATAGGCAAATGGGTCAAATTTCTATTAGATAAAATGCACCCTAAAGAAGAAGTGATGTTCACAACGGTGCAAGGATAGGGGGGGAACCAAAATGGCATATGTTAGTAAGGATATGAACGATAACATGTAGTGAGGTTTTGACTATAGAGAGGAATGGCAAAACAAAATTCATGTAGTTAATTCCATATAGGTGGGAAAAGGCTTTTTTAAATTGTGTACTATTGCTTAAGATTATAGTAAAAAAAATTCAATAATCGTAGTGGTAAAAAGAGGATATAGTTTTATTTATTGTAATCTTTTGCTGTTTTTTGTTTATAGTATGAATGCATAAAAGTAAATATTTTAATTGTCAATTTTTCATGTCCTATCCTTTAAAAAATTTGCTGCCATTGTATTTGTGTGTTGATTTTGTACGGTTGGTCTGTTTCCATTTTTAAATAACAACACAACTGCATTGCTTTCTGGAAGTACGACTGAAGGTATCAAGTCACTGTTACTAGCCATCCTTGGGTGACAATTATAGCCACTTCATGGAATTCCTCTGGAACTTAGTGTAGGTCTGTTTGATGAAAATTTGTTAAATGCCATTAGGACCATGGTTTATTTAGCAGATTAAGGAAACAACCAACCGAATGGTGTGAGAGAAAACTGTTTTGTATTTTATAAGTTTTGAAGAAGTCATAAGCCTCCTGATTGGCCTATAGAGAGGCTCTAATTCTTTTGTAAGGGAGCTTCCACATATATCATGCCCACATTTGATAAATTATTATTATTGAAAGGCATTACTACAGAATTAGGTCGCTGATGATCGGTAACAGGTCATGCTACTTTCCAACAAGTCAAGGATGATTGATGTGGTAGAAATTGCTTGGTTATGGAAACCTATCCTCTTTAGAAGCCAAAAAGGCAAAAACTAAAGCTTTGGCTCCACTCCAATCGAGAAACCAACTTGATTTAAGAAAGCACCCATAGTATTAACCCGTTGAATTATTCTTGAGTTTTAATCATATTTGTTGGATTCTATAAAATGTGGGCTGATTGATGTGATCCATTAGCTTGTTCAAACAAAGCTTGAGCAAGAAAGTCAGACTTGGACATAAAAGGAGGCAAGCTTAAATCAATAACATGCTCTGCTCATAAAGCAGTAATGCACGGTTGCTGTGTGCATGAGCAGTGATGTAATTTTCTTAATGTTCTGGACCTTTTGGTTGATGTTAACTCAATAATATCACAATATCTCACTTGCTTTTTTAGGTGACATTTCATTTGAGAACTTGACTCTTCCATTAAATGCTTGTGCTAAAGGTTCTCATTTCATGTAATTGACAAATTGATGCTGCATTGCGCATAACTCACATTTATCTCTAATTTCATTTTATGTCTGTTGATGTGATAGACTTGAATGGTGCATAGAGATGTCTCTCATATTCCACATTAACACAATCCATATTGCTAATTTGTCATCAAGCTGTTGGGGAGTGGGAGTGGGAGTGGTTAATTTCACAAATTGTAACTCAGGCCGTGTTTGTTATGACAAAAGATAAAATGGTGGAGCACATCTTTGATCTTTAAAGACCTCGTGAACGAATGACTCTGCAGGTTGCCAGAACCGGTTCCAAATTTAATTATATCTGGAACCATTGCTGTATGGGATCAACAAGATATTGTCTGTATTGCAATGAACATAATTCATTGTGCCAAGTGCTCAATAAACTTGGTTGACTTCTCTAAGTATTATGTTCCCTATAAGTGAAGCTTGTACTAAATTTCTTATTTTGATTCAGGGTGCTGTTCAATCTGGATAAGATGGGGCATATGAGTAATAGCTCAGATTTTCCTATAACCCGAAGCTGGAAGATGGCATTTGTTTTGGGTTGCTGCTGATGTTTTGTCAACTGCAATTCACAAGGTATGGTGACGGTAATCAATTTTACATCTGATTGAGGGACTGCAGCCTGAAGTAATGCTAGAACTCCTGTGAAGTCGAAAACTTTTAGTGGAAATGCATTTGTTTTGGAAGCGTCAGCATTGCATGAGCTCTTCTCAAGTTTAGTACTTTGTACAAGATTCTTCCAGAGTGAGGGACGGAATCTGTTTACACAACAAAATTTTGAAATTCGCGGTATTGATTTGCTTGTTTAGAGAAAAACTGCTCCAGTTTTAATCTCTCTTGAGCGTGTATAAGAGACACCCTTGCCTTCAAGTGCAACTTTTTACCTTAACAGTGATTTTACATTGATTGTAGATTTTCCACACACACAGAATGGTCTCTCAAGATGTAATTAGATTTCAGAAGTTGATTAGATCCGAATTTCTAAAATTTATATTTTGTTTGGTTGGAAGGAAAGATAGAAGGATTGACGAAAATGGAAGAAAGGAAGGTCTTACCATGAAGAGAGGAAGGAATCAAGCATTCCTCTTGGTCCGCATTTTCTCCTGCGGAAGAGAGAAATAAATAAAAATTGCTCCATAAATATGAAATATAATTAACAAAATTACTTTGTTAAATCACACTTATAATTAGTTTCAACCAAGCAAAAATAAAAAAATAAATATATATATATATCTTTCACATCTTTAATTGTTTACACTATTCATTTCATTCTATCAAATAAAAAATAAAAAGAAAGTCGTTCTTTATTCAAATCCATCCCTCCTATCCTATCCTATCCCTTCTATTTCATTTTTTCTGTTTTTTTTCACATCTTTAATTATTTTCACAATTTATTTCATTCAATCAAATAAAAAATAAAAAGAAAGTCATTCTTTATTCAAGTCCATCCCTCCTATCCTATCCCTTCTATTCATTTTTTTCTCTTCTACCAAAGGAAGCATCAGTGATATTTGAATTAAAAACTAGACCATTCACTTGAACTTGGATTAAACATAAAAGGTCCGACCACACTTAAAATGTGAAAATTCACCACCAAAAAGTGACCCAACAAAGGAGGAGCCGAACCCGATTCTCCCTTATATGAACTTTGGCGGGACCACGAAACGACTTGGCCCATCACATTGTATCCAAGGGCACTCTTGTCATTTTACTCTTTTCATTTCTGAACTGTGAGCTACTGTTTTCACTCAATTTGGCGGAAGGCTTTTAACTTCATAGTACGTGTTTTGTTTTTGTGGGGGTTTAACTTCATACAAGTTTCGAGCTTGTTTTTCAATAAAATGTATACAAACTCTTTCAGCAATTGCTAAGTTGCAGATGACTAAAGCCCCAACTCACCTTCTCTCGCTGGGTTTTCTCTCATGTCGAAGACCATCTTCTCTCGCATAAAACCTCTCCACAGTCCCAAACCCAATTCTTCTCCAAACTTTCTTGTCAAAACCCACGTCAAGAAATTGGTCGACGAAGTTTGTGAAATTCTCAGAACCCACAATCAATGGGAGGAAACCCTCGAAACCCGACTATCCGAAGAGGAAGTTGTCGCATCTGACATTGCTCATTTGGTGTTTGATAGAATTCACGACGTCCATTTGGGTTTAAAATTCTTTGATTGGGTCTCTCAACGACCATGTGGTTGTTCTATAGATGGGTTTGCTTATTCTTCTCTTCTGAAGTTATTGGCGAAGTCAAGAGTGTTTTCGGAGATTGAAACCATGTTGGAGAATATGAAAGTTGAAGAGAAACCACCGACCGATGAGGCTCTGAATGCTATAATTCGAGCATATTCTGATTCTGGGTTGGTTGATAAAGCTCTTCAATTGTATTTCTTTGCTGTTAAAACGTACAATTTCGTCCCAAATGTGTTTGCTTGCAATTCTTTGCTTAGTGCGCTAATAAAGGATGGTCGAACTCAACTTGCACTTTCCATGTATGAAGAAATGGTTGAAAGAGACGATGGCACAGACAATGGTTGTGTCGATAACTATAGTACTTGTATAATGCTGAGAGGTTTGTGCAAGGAAGGGAGGGTTGAGGAAGGTAGAAAGTTGATTGAGAATAGGTGGGGAAATGGTTGCATACCCAATATTGTTTTCTACAATACACTTATTGATGGGTATTGCAAGAAAGGCGATGTTGAAAGGGCACATGGGGTTTTTAAAGAGTTGAAACTGAAGGGGTTTTTGCCTGCAGTGGAGACCTACGGGGCTATGATAAATGGGTTCTGCAAGGAAGGAAATTTTGAGGCAATTGATAGACTTTTGCTGGAAATGAATTCAAGGGGTTTAACTTTAAATGTTCAAATTTATAATAACATTATTGATGCTCGACATAGGCATGGTTGTGCGGTGAAGGCTGTGGAGACCTTAAGAAAGATGATTGAAAATGGTTGTGACCCAGATATTGTGACATATAACATATTGATTTATGGTTTGTGCAGGGATGGTAAAGTTCACGAAGCAGAACAGCTTCTGCAGCAGGCAACAAGGAGAGCATTGAAGCCAAATAAATTTAGTTATACTCCTATTCTGCATGTCTATTGCACACAAGGGGAATATGTGAGAGCCTCAGATATGCTCATTGAGATGACAGAAAGAGGATATAAACCTGATCTGGTTACTTATGGAGCTTTTGTCCATGGGCTTGTTACTGCAGGTGCGGTTGATGTTGCGTTGACAGTTCGTGATAAAATGGTGGAGAGGGGAGTATTGCCTGATGCAGCCATTTTCAATGTTTTGATGAGTGGACTTTGCAAGAAGGGGAAGCTTTCTGCTGCTAAGCAGCTGCTTGCCGAGATGCTTGACCAGAATATGCTACCTGATGCCTTCATTTATACCACTCTAATAGATGGTTTCATCAGAAATGGTGAGTTTGATGAAGCAAAGAAATTATTTGGTCTTGCTGTTGAAAAGGGTATGGATCTCGGTGTTGTGGGGTACAATGCCATGATTAAGGGCTACTGCAAATTTGGAATGATGAATGATGCAGTGTCATGCTTTAATAGAATGATAAAAGGGCGGATTTCGCCTGATGAATTTACTTATTCCACCATTATAGATGGATATGTAAAACAGCATAACTTGGATGGTGCTTTAAGAATGTTTAGCCAAATGATAAGACGGAGATGCAATCCAAATGTTGTCACATATACCTCTCTGATTAATGGGTTTTGCCGCAGGGGATACTCCAGCAGAGCCGAAAAAATCTTTAGAGGGATGCAATCTTGTGGTCTGGTGCCTAATGTTGTAACTCACAGTATACTAATTGGGAACTTTTGTAAGGAGGGTAAACTCACAAAAGCGGCATCCTTTTTTGAACAAATGCTGATGAACAAATGCATTCCTAACGATGTTACCTTTAATTATCTCATAAATGGATTCTCAAATAATGCACCAAGTGCAATATGCAAGAAGGGGAATGAGTCTCATGAGCAGAAGTCTATATTCCTCGATTTTTTCAGAAGGATGATATCAGATGGATGGATTCCAAGGATTGCTGCATACAATTCTATCCTTGTTTGCCTTTGCGAATATAAAATGCTCAAAACCGCTTTGCAGTTTAGTGATAAGACAGCGAGAAAGGGCTGTCTTTCAGATTCAGTTACTTTTGCTGCACTGCTACATGGTATTTGCTTGGAAGGAAGATCAAAGGAATGGAAGACCATTATATCATGCAATTTAAATGAGCCAGAGCTCAATGTGGCTGTAAAGTACTCATTGGTGTTAGACCAGTACCTACCACAAGTAATTTCTGAGGCTACACAGATTTTGCATACTTTGGTTGAAGACTACAAGTCTCATAACCAAGACATAAATGGTTTCGAAGTGTCAGCAAAGTAGGACAAAAGGAAAAACTCAAGTAACTTATTTTTGGTCTCCTAAACCAGAGAAATCTTTCTTTCATTAGCCTAACAGCTGATTGAGATCTTACGCGGGGGCTGCTTTGAGAAATCAACTTTTTGTGCTCTCTTGATACTTCAAAGGCAGTAGAGCTGTTGATTGCTGATCAGAAATGGTCCAGACAGTCATTTTTGGTCACATGTCACATAGTAAAACTTAATTTGGCGTTGCCTTTCAGTTACCACAATTCTTTGATAAGTTAAGGTGGGTGAATTATACCACACGGTATGTTATTGATTCTAGACTAAATGGCTGCTTGGGATTGTGGGTTAATATCTGTTTAATTTGTTCGTGCAGGTGGTGAGATTCCGTTCAAGTGCAACAAATTCATGCTGTTATACCACCTTAATTTTTTCAGGATGCCAAAGTTAAAATACTTTACTTCAGAGGTGTGTACTTCAATATATAATTTTTTTTTCCCTTTCTTTTTTAATTTTCATTTTACATTAGTGTGATTGTGAAACTCTGTACAATTTCATGTTTTGTGCTGCAGTGTAAAAGAAAGTGATTTATAAGGTGAAAGTGCTCTTTATTGGTCTTATGGAACAGTGTCTCTTGTTTCCAAGTTTTCGAGACTGTAAGTGTGTACTTGTTGCCTGCTATGGAAGTCTATACTTATTGGTTGATAGATAACATTACTTATTCTGTATATTCTTTTTCCTGTTTGTTAGTACTTGGAGAAATTCCAAATTATGTCTAAAGATATTGAAAAGAGAAGATTTGCTCGAATGTTTGAAGGTCCAAAAGCTCTTTTTCATGCTTCTAACGCACAAAATGTGGTTTTTTTTCCCCCTTTTCACCCCTTTTAAATGGATTTTATTTATTTATTTATTTTTAGATGAAGTTGAATAATGTCAATCTTCCCGTTGGTGATTGTTGGCAGCTTGAATTTTAAAATAAAAGTAAAATTTAATTGACCATTTGATATAATTTCTATGCTTTGTGTCTAACTCATTAATGTTTTTTGGGATAGGATTTGAAAAAAAAGAATTATATTGAATTAAAAAAATAAAATAAAATAAAAACAGCCACAGTATGAACTAATAAGTAATAACCAACTCATCACTTCTCATTTTCTAAATTTTAAAAACCCGTCAAGATATGATACAACAATCGTATCAGTGTAGTAACTGATTTTTATTTATTTATTATTATGATTATTTTTGCATAAACAAAATAGAAATCAAGCTGAACATACACTGTTTTCTTCATTGCTCTTTGCAGATTTTCCTTTTCACATGTAAAGATGAAGATGCTAATACTAAGCTCATTATTTTTGTCTTTCCAGCTATAACAGAGTAGGTGATTATCACCTCTTTCTATTTCTGAGTTTTGTAAAATAGATTATTACTACATGGTTATACTGCAAAATCAATTTAGTTAGATGATGAAGTGTCTTGGGGGAACAGTAATAATAATAATTCCTTAACAACCAATTTAGATGGTTCTCCTGAAACTCGAGGTCATCCCTTTTGATCCATCTCTTTTCTTAAGGTAACGATGAAAGTACAAAAGAGCAAGTCCATGAGGAAGACAACTCACCCACTGTGTGTGAGCTCGTGTCCTTAGTCGTTGAATCGACAACATGGCTTCGTAGCCTCTCGATCCAAAAGCAATCTCCTTGGCAGCCCAGACCCCCCAAGTCTCCCGAAGAATACCTACTATTGCAATTGAACTCGTGTCTTAAGTCGCTGAATCGACAACATACCTTCGTAGCCTCTCTCCTTAGCAGCCCAGACTCCCTAAGCCTCCTGAGGAATGCCTTACTACTGCAAATGCTTACTGCCCCTGCCTCCCCTTTATAGGTGAGTGGGTGTCCCTTCGCAGATGAAACCGAGGTCATTACTGTTAGCGTCAGCAAGAAAAAAAATATATTCTTATTACTTTTTTTATTTATATAAATCAATAAAAAGATTCCATTAGCTCAAAGTATTCAAATCGCTTCAATTCCTCATTAGGAATATCACTTTTTTTAAAACAATAAAACGATTCCATTAGCTCAACAGGGTTCATTCAATCACGTCAGTTCCTCATAATATTAATTTCAAATGGTAGAAGAGTTCTTTTATTTAACATCAACAAAGTACCAAACCAAATGTCGGAATCAATGACCAATCGCTTTAGAAATCAACGCGGAGTGTCTACTGTTGAAAGCGTTTGGTGAATCGACACAGAGACAAAAGAACAGCTCACCTAACTACATAAGCGAACACTGGGCCTTTTTTCACACAGATTTTGAGGAAAAATGTTACCAAACAAAATCCAACATTATGCAAGTGTGTATATGTTTCTATAGAAATGTATATAGACACATCTAAAATCAATTTGAAACATCTGTTCAAATTAAATTTACTGAAACAGAACACAACCATAACAGCTACAGAAACTGAGATCAACATTGTGTAGATGTGTGTCTATAGGTGTATCTATCACATTTAGATATAAATATCATACATTGACTATTCACGTCTGTGTTCTCTCATAGAACTTCTCTGAAACAAACTCAGAGCACTTCAAAACCAGTAACTTCATTAATAATACCAACCGAGGTAACAACTACTTTCCCTATTTCATTCCTTTTGAGCTCCAAATACAGTACAAAAAAAAAAAAAAAAACCCTAGATCATTCCAGAATACATCGACCAAGCACTGAATCTCTGAACTGTCACACATAAAATGATCAGCAACAAGAAAATCCTATAAATTTATAGCTTCAGCGAACCAACTAAATTTCACACTTTTACTAAATTTAGTGACCAAATGTCTGGCAGTAAAAAAATCTGGCAGATTCTTGAATTTGATTGAGAGAGTTCTAGAAACACATCTACAAATGCTGTTTTTTTTTTTAAATCAACGCACAAGACCTCAATCAAATCCACATGGGCATAAAAGATCACACATATAAATAGCTAAAAAAACCTGCTCACCCCTACCAGTGTTCTGGGTTTTTCATAATATCACCTCTTGCATTCACCAAAGAATCATATCTTCCTCTACTTTAATACAAAAAAAGAAGGGAAAAAGAAGAAAGAGAAAACCTCTCCTGCTTCCACTGACTGACCCAGACAAAATGTCGTTTTTTAAGATATCAGATTACAAAGAGTTCACATCATCCCCAGGTCCCCTAAATGAATCGCATGTTAGGGTATGTCTAGTAATTCCCTGTGCTCTGTAACCTTGGGATCTGTATTCTCAATATCTCTTTCTCTGGGATTTAATCTCCATGCTAGTAGCTTGAGTTTTTAGGTGTCTTCAATCCTGTAAAGACAGTTAAAGCCCAGTTTAAATCCATCTTTAACATTACTCCCCTGGAAAGCTTTGAGCATCATGGTCCAGCAAGGGCTCATGAAAACTAATACGAAATGCAGAAAATGCAAAAAAGCTAATGTGCAAGTGAATCCCATGGAAGCTGCACTAGAGTGGAAGTGTGAAATCAAATAACAGTAGGAGAGCTGAATGAGGTATTCAAAATTTTCATGCAACTTTAAGTTTCAAAAACCAGATATCACCCACTAACAAACTGGAGAAAAAGAAAAGGGACAAAAAAAAGAAGAAAAATAATTAAGATAAAGTTCCAGTAGTTCGTTTTTGTTGGTATTTTTTTAAAAAGAGTCCAAAAGCAGCCACTGTGCAAAGTTTTTCAAGTTTCACAAGAAAATGAACAAATTATATAACTGAATGTGAACCTAGGAAGCATTCCATGGTGATCCAACTATCCTATGGTGATTTCTATCATGATTCTACAATTCTGTACCACCCTTCTTATTGATCAATTAGCTACTAAAACTAAGCTCCATGAGGCCTACAAATCTGGGTTGTGCAATTTGAAAAACAAATCAATATCAATTGCAGAATTTTGTCACAGAGATGTGTCCTTCAAAGTCAAAAGAAGCACATTTTGTAGTCGGTCAACTCTATAAAAATCAGAGAAACAACACGATAATTTCCAGAAACTTGGGTTATTAAATTATATTATTCTATTCCTTTCAAGCTTGTATACAACAAGTTTAAGATGTATAACATGCAATAGCTAATGTCAGCAAACAATAGTGTCAATAAATCTGTTGCAAAGAAACAATTAGGATAAGGGGTAAGGAAAATACCACACAACACCTTAAGAGCTTTCTCACAATCAAAATGGCAATATCAATCACAAATCCAATTAATGTGGGCATTGATAGCTCTTTACTCATCACTCTCTTCTGAACTTTGTTCTTCAGTTGTTCGAGTCCGATTGGAACTATTACCCCTCATTAAGTCTGACAGCTGTTGTATTGAACAAGAAGTGCTTCGCCCCATCTTATCTGCAAGTATATGTGTCTGCTCTGAAAAGCCAAACCCTATAAGTCGATTCCTCAACAACTCACACGTGCAAGAATATGGTGGTATCCCATCATCAATCATCATCTCAAAATATTTACATGCATCCTCTAATTTACCTTTCTTCTTACAAAGACCATGGACCATGACAGCATACGTTGAAACCGAAGGATAAAAACCCCTCTCCTCCATACTCTCCCATACTTTGATGACTCTATCAAACCTCCCTATCTTGATCAGCATTTTGAGCACCATATTATATGTATGCAGATCCGGCAGGCAAGAATCTTTGTCCATTCTTGAAATCAACCGAAGGGCCATATTAACTTCAGAATGATCGCAATGGAAAGCTTGTATTGCATTGTAACTCCATACATCTGGTCTCACTCCCCTCTCAATCATCTCATCTAAAAGTTGGTAAGCCTCCTCCACCCTATCATTCTTACATAGTTTTTTGATAATACAGTTATACGTAAAAACATTGGGCACAAGATTGTATCTTTTCATTCTGTCAAGAACCCTAAAGACAGAATGAATATTATTTGCTTCACAAAAAGCACGAATGAAGATCGAATAAGTATAAGCATCTGGCTCAAGTCCCTTAAACCCCATCTCTCTGAACAACGTATAGGCTTCATCAACATTCCCACCTTTGCATAAACAGTCCAGCATACTATTATAAGCAAGCACATCCACCGAGCATCCTCGTTCGAGCATTTCATCGAATAACTTAAGTGCCTGGCCGGAATCGCCAATGTCGCCCCACCCTCTCATCAATATGCTGTAACTTTTGACACTCGGCGCAAATTCGAACTTAATTCTATCAAAGAACTGTTGGGCATGCTTCACATGTTTCCTTTTACACAGTACATATAGAAGCTGATCAAGATCATCAATACCCGGTTCAATACCAAAATCAATCATCTTATCAAAAGCCCGAATGGCATCAGCTGGAAAGTTAGCTCTACTATATGCTCGGAAAACAATCCAAAAAATTTTAGGGCTAATTTCACAACATCGAGTGTCTCTCATCTCTACAAGGAAATCCCAAATCAATGGGAACTGTTTGCTACTTCCTAAGATATCTACAAGAATGTGATAACTTTCTCTTGTGTGTTCAAAACCCGGAAATCTCCGAGCCCAGAGAAAGAATCTGTGAGCTGAGAACCCGAGATTTTTACACCTTTTCAAGACTTGTTGAACCAAATCGGTGGATATTCTGGATGAGAACGAAGTGAGAGCCGATTCGATGTCGTGTTGGGGGTTTCGGAAGTCGCTGAGTACACGACAGAGGTCATTGACGAGTTGTGGTGAAGAAGGTGGGTTTGGGTCTGGAGGTGGGGGTTGGGGTGGGGGTGGAGAAGAGAGTGCATGAGATGAGAAGGTGTGTCTGGAAAGGCGATGGTGAGTTGGGGGGAGATGAGAAGAGAGAGGGAGTAGAGGAGAGAGAAGACGGGTATCGGCGTTGTTGGGTAGAGAGAGAAGAGGATGAAGGGATTGGAAGAAATGGAGTGGTGTGGTTTTGGTTCGAGAGAGTGTTCTAATAACTACTACCATTTGAGAGATTCAGGATCTTTACGTTACAGACGGTTTTGAGCTTAACAGTTTTGATCTTCATCGATTTTATACCATTATAGATTTTTGGACTCATCACTTGGCAGTGTAAGATTTTTTTTTTAAAAAAAAAAAAAAAACACTAACAAAAATGTCAAATTTTAATTTTAGCAACTTAGATACCATAAAACCAATGGTAACTTAACCAAATGGGTTCACTTATTTGGAAAAGATTTGTAGCATCGAATTATCGTCTGTGCAAATTGTAAATAATATTTTAATTACAACATGAGCCCGTTAGTCGGTAAACCGTTCGAACTCTTTGATTATTAAATTTTCTTAAAAATTATATCTTCAAAAATAATTCAAATTTCTTACACGAATTCCATGAATTAATCAAGCACCCTAATTATAAAAAAGAAAAAGAAAAAAAAAATGATAATATGGGTGAGTGGACAAACTTTAATTTTACTGCACCAAACCCTTCAAAACATTTTTACCATACAAGTGAGACTCCTTGGATTTATGATTCACACACTTTCACTTGTGTTTGCTTCTTGTGGTACGGAGATGGAAAATAGAAAAAGGGAGTATTAGATGTGTTGAAAAAAGGAGTATTAGATGTGTTGAATTAAGTCTTAAAAATTTTCTAAATAGAAGTTCCTTTTACATTTTGTGGCGATACGGCTCTTATTTCGACTCTGTGTTAATAATTTAAATACGAAAATTGTTTAGATATAATAAATAAATAAATAATAAATCATAATAAATGTCATAAAGAGTAGCTTACGTGTAAAAGCTCTGGAAAATCTGAAGCACACGTGGCGACCAAAACATAGCTTACGTAACTGTTGAGGAAGCTACGTGTAAAAGCTCTGGAGAATGTGAAGCACACGTGGCGGCCAAACAGAGCCTTCAAAATTCGTTTACTGAGAGAGGGTGACTAGTGTGCTATGCTGCCTCCAACGTATGGTCTACCGTGAGTACCTCAACGATTCTCTCTCTCTTTACTCTCTCTCCCTGATCCAACGTTATCCTTTCCTTTGATCTCTACAGACTACACAATCTTTATCTCAGAAACTAATTAAACCCACTTTTCTTGTTTGTTTTTTTTTTCCATCAGCTCATTCCTCCTGTTTGGATTCATTTTCATTTTCTCGAGAAAATGAAAGAAAACACGGGAAACCCATTGCACCTGACATCCTTGAACCACGTCTCGCTAGTTTGCACATCACTTGAGAAGTCCATTGATTTCTACAAGAATGTTCTTGGGTTTGTTCCGGTGAGGAGACCTGGCTCTTTCGATTTCAATGGAGCATGGTAAATTCATACAAATCGTTTCAAGTAAAGAAAAACCCACTCTCAATTAATGGATTAAAATTGAAAAAACTAAAGTCTAATTTTTTTTTTCTTTCTTGCTGACATTTTTTGTTTATTTTTATTTCAATTGTTATGCGCAGGCTATTTAGCTATGGAATTGGAATACATCTATTGCAATCAGAGGAACCAGAAAACATGCCAAAGAAAAGTAAAATCAATCCCAAAGACAATCATATATCTTTCCAGGTAAGGTAGTTCCTATGTCAAATTAATTAATACTATCCATTCTAAATTTAAAATGTTAAATGCTATATAACACATGCCTAAATATTTATATAAAACCCTTAATTTGCAATATATTTTAATCAGTCACGGATGTACCGTGGGCTTTACCCCTTAAATTTGTACTTTTTTATATTTATATCTATAAAATTTTGAAATTATTACACTCTTCTATATAAATTTGCCCTATTCGTATGAATTTTTAGATCTGTCCCAATTTTATTGCTCATAGTTGAATGAGGACAAAATGAATTTCAACACATGCTAAAAAGAATAAGGGCGTGCCTTTTCCAACTGACTAAAGTCTTTATTTACTAAACTAAACCAAATAGAGACTCTTGAGTCTTGAATTTAATGAAATGTATTCGTTGCTAAAAAAATAAAGCTATCAATTTTGGAGAGGAAATAAAAAAGGAATAAACCTCTTTGTGTTGGTTTTGCCATCGACTAGGCACAATTAATTGTTTTATTCTGATTAAAGAACGCGTAGTTTTTTTTTTTGGTGGATTTGGGCATAGTGAAAATCACCTCATCAAGGCACAAATAGCTTTATTCTGAGTAGGAATGGGTTTTCTGGTGTGCACAGAGTGGAAATCACTTGTTCATCATCATCCTTGAGAGGATTTCTCGATTTGTCTCCTTGTTTAGCATGAATTCACAATTTTAATTGTTGTAGCACTAATTAGAGTTCCTTTTGGTGATAGTGGACGTAGCTTCTCAAAACCTTGTCTTACAAATTAAGTGAAAAGTGCATGTGTTCAAAGAACGAGCACATTCACAATCCAAAACTTACGGTTCTAGGGTGCAGTCCACTCTTATAGGGGAGAGATCGAGAAGCTACATTTTCGCAACGTAGTTCACTCTGGATGGGGTTGAGGGGGAGGTTTCACTCATTTTTATGTTTTATTTTGTTGTTACTATAAACAAAATGGATCTATGATTCCTAAGCCATTAAAATTCAAACCTTAGCCATCATAAGTTAGAAAATTTGTCATTATGAAAATGAAATGGATGCTATTAGGCGAATCATGATGATGGACATCCTGTTTTTATAACATGAAAGAAGAGTGCTAGTTGGCTGACCTAATTGGGGGATCTTTTGGTAAACTTGATATGATATATAGATCCATACAAACAATATGCCCCCACCAAGGAATATTTATATATACTAGTTAAATCCATTCTTTGTGTTTACAGTGTGAAAGCGTTGCTGCAGTGGAGAAGAAGCTGAAGGAAATGGGAATCGATTACCTAAGGCAACAGGTAGAGGAAGGCGGGATCTACGTCGATCAACTGTTCTTCCATGATCCGGACAGCTTCATGGTTGAGATATGCAACTGTGACAACCTCCCCGTTATCCCAATTGCTGGAGAGATGGTTATGTCATGTTCACGAGTGAAACTAGCATCGGGTGCAATTTCAGCACAAGCATGAGCTCTGTGTGTGTGTTTTTTCCCTGTTCTTGTTTTCTTTTCTTTCAGTTCAATGGTGGGTGTAGCACTCTTCTCTGTGGAACCATTACCCATTTCTCTTTGTTGATAGAGAGGTCTTGTGGAGCTCTTCATTAATTTTAGATTCTCTTCTTTTCTAACAAGATGTAACTCTCAGAGTATTGGGTTTACAATGTCACATACTTCTACATATAGAAGACATGGCGGTGGCACTGTGAATGGTGGTGGAAAATCACCTCCACTGAAATAGTATCCCATTTACTCCGTTTTAAAATAAGTGACCTAGAAATTATCATGTCAATCGTGCTTAAAATTCATCATAAAAAAATATTAAAATACACCGTAGAAAAATGTTGGATGCACTCTCACTTTTAAAAATGAGGAAATAAATTACCGGAGATAGAGAGAATCCTGATTCATCGTGGTATTAAATAATGAGGATTTTGTTTATTGTTTTATTTTATAAAAAATGGGCACCTCCTGTTCTTTGTTTTAAATGTCAATACAATTAAAACATTTTGAAAACTACTTACACGAATAATATGCAAAGCGGTTCGGACTCCGGAGTACCGCTTTCAAATAAAAAATCAGAATTTCTTTAATTTTAAATTTTTTTTTTTTCGGATCTTTTATTTTAATTTGGTAGAAAAATCAGAATTTCTTTTATTTTAATTGTTTTTTTCGTCGGATCTTTTATTTTAATTTGGTAGACAAATATTATACAGTAAATAATTAAAAAATTACTTCAAAATTTCGTTTTTCTATCATCAAAACTTCTTTTAAAAAATTCCTTTCTAGGTGTAAACACTCCGAATGGCAAAGTGGCAGTCTCGTAATTTGGTATTGTCTTTCTGATTATATCTTTCAGTACAGAAACAGGACATGGTGGGCGATGGAGGGCGTTCAACGGTTCACAACTCGTCTCTTTCCGGTACCTCTCGCCGGAAAATGCTACAGAACCGTCACAAATCCGCCATTTTGGACAACCCCAGTAATCAAATTCCATCAAACTCGAAAACCCATCTTCAAACCCCAGATTTCTTACCCGAAACCCGCCTACACTCTTGACTTCAGTACCAGAAGAAGTCACAGTTCTTCTTCAACTGCTCGGGCCGGTTGGCTTCTGGGTTTGGGAGAGAAGAAGCAAATCTTGCCGGAGATTGTGAAAGCCGGCGACCCGGTTCTTCACGAGCCGGCCCGAGATGTCTCACCTGATGAAATTGGGTCGGAGAGGATTCAGAAGATCATAGATGATATGGTGATGGTAATGAGGAAGGCACCTGGGGTAGGTCTTGCTGCTCCTCAAATTGGAATCCCATTGAAGGTGTGTTTCATCTTGAAAGAAACAGATGTTACATATACATACATACATTTTTTATAATTAGCAATGTATCAAAAATACTTTTTTTTTTTTTTTTTTTTTTGTTGCTCCATTTAAATTGAGTAAGAAATAAATAAGGATAATGTCACTCTTTCTGAGTCCTAATTTCATTTATTTACAAACTACAAAGTGAGCAATGTATCTATATATATATATATATATAGCTCCATTTAAATTTTGGTTAAGAAATAAATAAGAATAATCTCACTCTTTCTAAGTCCTCATTTCATTTATTTACAAAGTTCTCTTGGATTTCTTAGTAGCAAATGCTTGTCATGATGCTAATGGTGATCTTACTTGATTGCGAAGTGTTTTTCCCCAAGTAAATTTGACCAACTATCCTGCATTGCACAATATTAACAAACGCCAATTTGAAAAGTAATAATAATTCAACATCTTTGATAACTGTTTGCTCTTACAACCTGTAACAGATAATTGTTCTGGAAGACACAAAAGAATATATTAGCTATGCACCAAAGGAAGAGACTAATGCACAGGATCGGCGTCCTTTTGATCTTTTGGTATGTTGAGATGCGGAGAAATAGAACATCAAAATGATACATCTCATCTTTTAAGAACAAAAGATTTTGTTCTAATATTACCATATCTGTTGTTTTTCGAATGCAGGTTATTCTGAATCCAAAGCTTAAAAAGAAGGGTAACAAAAGTGCACTATTTTTTGAAGGGTGCTTAAGGTAAGACACATGCAATTGTTCTTGATGTTGGATTCCTTTATTATGTCACGAATGTGTTGTACCTCCGTTGTTTACCACTTGTCTATGCTCATTTACATGGAAGATCACTAGAGAGTAGAAACTAGATAATGCGATCAACTCAAGTACAATTATTATCATTACATATGTAGTAAATATGTATGTAGTTTGCCCAACAAAGTTTTACATTTTCTTTTAACAGTAACTTAATATGAGATTGATGTTTCATGAAATGATCAATGAGCAGATTGACTGCGTTCAATCACATTTCCACTTTCCAAGTAGTAAGCAACAGAAGTGTATTGGTACTGAAATCGTGTAATTGGCTGTCCAATGTTGCTTTTCCATGTGCTAGATTTACTTTGTTAGATGGAACTTTTAAATCTTGGAGAAAACAAATTAGGTCATATAGTTTTAATGTACGGTCCTAAACAACTGTCATAGAAATTGGGTTTGACCGGTGGATGTAGGGCTTATCGCAATTCATTTTACTGGTTCAGGTGCAATTCAATCTTACCCTAAAAAATGTTTGCTAAATGAAGTGAAGCTAACAAGACGGGAGGAGCTCTACAACAACAGCCTAACACATTTTCTTTAATTTGGATGCACAATGCATGTATAGATTGTAAACGACCTAAATTATGAACTAAAAATGCCCTTAATACAAAAATGGTATGACTAATATTGATGCTCTCGTGGAGGAGCTTTGTGTTCAATTATTTTTAGTAAAATTGACTTAAGGGGCATTTGCACTGCCCTCAAGTAAAGTTGTCTTGTTTTACCTTACATAGCATTTCAAATGATTTTGTATTATTCCCTGTACATATTATCATTTTTGAATTCTTGTAACGACTCCATGACTTAGTTACTGGTTCCATTTTTAAAGAATGGATTGTGGTATCGGATGATCTAGAAAAATTGAGGCATATGATATCATTTCCATTTGGTTTTTGTTGTCCTTGAATGCTTGGCAGAGATACAAAACACAGTAATATTAACTCCTACTCTGTTGCCACCATACTTGTAATAGATTTATGTTCCATATAATAATGAAACATATACCAGTTATTCAAAGAAAAGATTTTGAGATAGTGAACTTCTTATTGTAATTTTTGAGTAAAAGCTTACTTCTTTGAACTATTTCTTTTATTTCATGACCATGCATTCATATCTTTTCATGTATCAATTACATTCTGGTAGAAACCAAAAAGAAATTATTGGAAATTTGAGCTTGTCTTGCTTGAAGAAGGCCTCGTTCTCTATCTCTCTCCTATCTTGTACTGCATGGTTCCACTCTGTAAAAACTCCAAATCATTCTACATATTCGTAACCGTCCCTTCTTTTTTCCCCCTAACGGTGCCGGAGGACAAGAGTTATGAAGGTTCCACCACCACCCCCCTCCTCTCCCTCTCCCTCTCCAGTAAGGGTAAGGATGGAGTTTTGCTGTCTAAAATGAAGTGGATTGGTAATGACTAGAACTGTGAACACAATCTTCAAGCATTTAAAACTTAGGTTCAAATCTTGATCATGATGTTGACAACTTGCAAATTATTGAGAAAGTTTATGATCATCTTAATATTGTCATGTATTGTGCAGTGTTGATGGATTCAGAGCAGTGGTGGAAAGATACCTAGAGGTCGAGGTAACAGGTTTGGATCGTTATGGCCAGTCCATTAAAATTAATGCTTCAGGATGGCAGGCTCGCATTTTACAGCACGAGTGTGATCATCTGGATGGAACTCTCTATGTTGACAAGATGACCCCAAGAACATTCAGGACCGTTGAGAACTTGGGTTTGCCTCTTGCCACTGGGTGTCCCAACCTGGGTGTTCAGTAGCTGATGGTCTTAAATAAGATTTATCAGTCATAAACCTCTAGAAAGGTGCTCGAGATGCAATGGAACAAAAGCTTGAAATTGCTTCCGGCAGCAATTGGGTATTTTGTTAATTTGGGATTTTTCCTCCCTAAATTACCGGAAGATTTGCATTCATTTTAGGATATTCCACCAGTTCTTGCGGATGACAGATGTTTAAACATTGCAGATGTTTTCAAGCAATTAAGCTGCATTACATGGAGTGTTGTTTTGAATTTATTCGACATTGAGCTTCATTTTCCAATACATACTAGTTCTTCTTAGTAATGACATCCAAATTTGAGTATGATGATGTACTACTACCAACTTCATAAATGATTATCGAGATAATTTTTTTTCACAATATGCAGTTTCCCTTTATTTCTCTTCAAGTTTGATTATAAGTTGTGTGTGACATTTTTGCTCATTGCTCGGGCAGATAAGCATACCAGTCACTGGTAAGTGTACTTGCAGCCAACCTTGTCATCATCTCATCTTACAAATGGAAGAATAATCAAACTGTACTGAGAGTGTAAGCATATCAATCCTTGGTAAGAAGCAATAGATGTTTAAGAAGTTTAGCAGCTCTGTTAGTTTCAATCTGATTACTCTCTCTGCAGTTAGAGACATGAAGTGCTTATTGTAGAATACCAGGTAAAACAAAACCAAGGTTTATTGTTTTTAAATGCTGTACACGGAATTAATTGGTTGCATACCCGCATAGAAGTATAGTTTAACATCCAATATATACACACTTATACACATCCATAAACACCCACAATCTGCAATCAATATACACGTGAAACTATATACAACAATAAAATACAACCCAATACTATAATTTTGATGATTTTTTTCGTTTAGTTGTACTCAATTATACACGGTCACCATTGGAGGTCAAGCCCTGCACTATAGCTGCAGCGGACGTGCTCCGGGAACTTGGTTTTTCCAAATATAAATAGCAACCATGAAGAATCTTCAAATGGACTGAAGAACAGAGCTAGAGAAAACTTTCTGCCTGATGAAGTTTTCATCATTAGAGAAACAATGAGGGGGATATATCAAACCCGAAGTTGAACCACTGGCTTGCCAACAAAAAGATCTTGTAATTCCCCCAGAGTATGATTCAAGATGAATGTCTTCTAAATATAATCTTTTACAAGGGAAGCTGTCACTGCAAGCAAATCTTACTGCTTCCTCTGTTGCTGAAGTTCCTTTGATGCCAATGAACGATATACTCTCAACTCTAACAGCTAGAGTCTGCATTATCATAGGACAATGGATGTTAAAATTTCCATTGCAGTAACATATATTATTAAATGTTCAATTTGGACAACTTTACTGACAAATCTGCACGCGGTATAAATTTTAAAAAATATTGGCACAGGACTTTTATTTATTCAGATTGTTTCGATGTGCCTACATGGGCTGGTGCTATCTGCTATGAATATTATGGGATGTTAAGTCTCAGTTCTCTTGAAGGAGCGAGAGCCATTTTCCTTCAATAGATGAAGTTAAACATTTACTGTGAAAAGTAATTATTTCCTTGTCCTTCAAACAGACAGAAATGGGGATTCCTAAAAGCAATTATTGATTCTGTTGCACCAAAGACAATCTAACCACCTTCCACCAAACACTTGATACACAACCACCAATACAAGAGAAAAGCCAATAAATTTTATCCACCTAGAGCACAAAAAGTCCCATACCTTGTTTTCACATGGCCGCCGCGAATCACAGTAATACTGGTCTATTATAATTGGATTGGAGACATTTTTCATCCACACATTCTGAAAAGTTATATTGGTAGTAAAACCACTGCCTCCCTGATGAAGACATTAAAAAGGGTTTGGTAACGATAAACTCACTTGTATGTATAAGGAAAATGAATGATTAAGAATTCGGATAAACAGTTCAAAATAGTTGGGAAAGAGGCTTATTGAGTAGCATTTAGTCCGGGCACGCACGTGCTCAGAGAGATAAAGTCATGAAGAAGATTACCTGCCACGTTTTGATCCTCACCCCATTATCAGTATTGGACAGATATGCTCCATTTACATTTATATCATGCACTTGAACTAAAGATTTTGATTTTCCCAAGCTTCCAATACTACCAAATATAGATTATAATTAGTGAAGAATTTGATATAGATGATAATAATCCAACGAAGGTGAAACATATTGTTACCTTATACCATGGCCCGGTCCACATGCAATATTTTGGATGCGAATCCTCGAAGAATTGCCAACTATAGAAATGCAGTCATCCCCTGGGGTAAGGACACAGAATTCAGTGGAATGTGTGACCAAGTTGATCAAGACCATCGAATGTACACACCATGCATTCGCCATGAAATTTTCATGCGATCCTCATTAACTTATTTTTTGACACATCACATGAAAATCATTTTGATCAGCAGACCAACTGATTGACTCATACATAAAATGACTCAAACATTACAACCACGTCTTGTTCACGGAAATTATCAAAAACACACACAACACCTTGAAGTCAATAACATGACTAAATTTCCTAACAGTCCCAGTTTGAACCTCCATTATAGAACCTAATATTCAACATAACTCACTCTCTGATCACCTCAATCATTCCAACACCCTAAAATCCTTATCATACATACCCCGAATGAGATCTGAGAATCTCACCTTCAGAATTACAACCTTAGACTAACTTACTGCAAATGCACCCACTCTACCTTCCTCACATGGAATCTTATAAATTTCAAGAAATATTAATTCCCTTCCTCAAACCCACCCATGAGTCCTAACTTCCAAAGAAATCCAAATGCCCCTAAATTTTTTACTTTTTCATTAGGCTAGGTTTGTTTAACAAATTGCCAAGCTTGGAAAATAAATCCAGGTTCAGGCTGAGGTAACTTTGTATCACCATCAATACATGCATCCCCAATCAACTCAACCAATTTTAATCCCTAGGTTAAATTAGAGGCAAACTTGCAGTAATATCTTTAGGAATCAAATGTTTGATATGCATTGACAGAAGTTAACAATAATAGCTAGATATATGAATTCCTTTCTTCCCCGATGCAGCATTGCGTTTTTTGAATACTTGGATAATTCTTTTAAGCAAAAGAAACACAAACAAAATGCAGCACATGATGTGGTAAAATGGTGGTAGGCTAGTATACTACAAAGTCCAAACTTCGCAGTGTGAGAATGGAATTTTCATTTAACAAATAGATGAATAATGATGGTTAGTATCACTAAAATTCTTAAATACATTTATTTACTTTCTGGAACTTACATAAAAAGCATAACACAAACTGCGCCACAAACATGTCAATCCCTTCCTCTTATTTTTCTCCTAAAAGTATTTTCTTTCCTAACTTTCTATGTTTTGTCTTGTAATGAGAAAATTAAGGAAAGAAATCAGACACAATTTATTTGGACCACTAAATAGTGGTTTGTAAGTGTATCATGTTTTGTCCAAATTCCATTATGCACATTGCAGGAGTATGAGCCTTTCATAAACTCGTAAACAATTCTTGATTTATGCTTTATGAAACCCTCCCACTTTCCAGCCAAAAAACAAAGTATAAAATACATTTAGTATATGATTTTAATTGATAGGAAGAGTAAGAACAGAAAATATTAAACACGTTTATCGACAACCAACCTGTTCTGATAATGCTGCCTTTGACTTCAACGCGATTGCATGAGCTTATGTGGATCCCGTCAGTATTAGGACTAACTGCAGGTGCTACTACTCTGAGACGGGATGCCGCAACCCTAACACAATTAGTGAATGCCATGTTCATTTGTTGACTATCTACCATCAAAAGATTCCTGACTTTCAAATAATTGCATCTATGAAAAGTAACAGCCTGCAATGTAACAAATTTACCATATGTACCATATTATGACCGAGAACCATTCCTAGAAGTGATAGCATTAGGATCATAACACAGAAGACTATGAGATAAATAAAATTTATGAAATTAACTACATGGATCCAAGGAGAAAACAGCACTGACCGTTGGAGCATGATGACATGGCTGCCAAGATAAAGGTTTGAAGCCAATTTTAGATATCAGAATGAGAGGGAAAAATTCTTAGTAACATGAATATATATGTACATGGATGGAAGATAGAAATACATTTGTTCTATTGATCTTGCAAGAATGAGCCCACCACTCCTGCCCCATCCCGTTAACAGTTCCTCCACCTTCTACTGTGAGGTGGTTCACCCCATGGAAATAGAGCCATTTTCTTGGATTCAAACCATCCCAATAACTAGGATCTTTGGGAGCAACAATAGTACCAGAGATCTACAAAAATGCAATAGGAAAGTGACTTAAATGCAATAATTTTACAGATTGTATAAAAGAAGGAAAGATCAATTATTAAGTAAAAGTGTGCTGTCAATAGAGTTATGAGCAACTGTTAATGCTTGTCCCATACCCTCAGAGTAACCCTCGATCGGCAAGGCCCGGCAAAATTAGTTGGTCGGACCAGATAGGTGCTTCCCAATGGAACCACGATTTTTGACCGTGAAGAGAAAGAACAGGCTGTCTTCCAAGCATCTGCAAAAGCCTGAATGCATTGAAGCACAATGATATCAGGAGACTGTTTTCTTTTTTCAGTAAGTTTCTCAGTTAGTGAACATATACATGATCATGGTGCCTGCCTTGTTCCCATAAAGATGTTCACAAAACTTATCTCACTCAAATGGTAACAAATAGAAAAGATTTACACGAGTACTTATTTGGTCATAACTGAGTTAGTACTCATGGAACATCAACAGGTCTTAATTCGAAGAAAAAAGAAAATGCTAGAAGCTTTAATATCTTCATTTGGGTAGCAGAAAAGAAAGAAAGAAAAGGAAAAACAATCTATGAAGAGTAGGATGCCCCTGCATAACTTACTGAAGTATTTCCCATACAATCGGTTCTACTTCCCGAATTTTACTCTTAGCAACCTCTAACCATTCGAAATCAAAACAGTTTAAGATTAAAAATCTTCCTTTGTATTCCTCTGTCTTCCAAATCTTTTGAAGAATATACTCATGTGCCACATGGGGTGGCCTCAATTTATTTTATTTGATGAATTTTCCTTCATAGAATTAATATTAGACTGATAATCAAATGAATTGACCCTTTTTTTTTTTTTGGGTTGTTGGGGGATATACACCATATAGGACAAAAAGGGGAATACATATTTATATATATATATATCATTTTTTTTATCCAATTTGCATTTCCACAATTCTTAATGTTCCTTCACACTCAAAACTTATCAAAGCTTGGAAATAATTCTCATCAACCCTTAACGACTAACGAGTACTTACGGAATTCCAAAACATGATATTTCCAAGAATGTAATTTTCATACATACACATGATGGTGAAATTAATTATATCGAAGTTCAAAAATTCTGGATATCAATTAACTTACCTTTTCTATAACACACATTAGTACTTGCAAGAAAAAATTAAAGAAAAAAGAAAGGAAAAATATGACATGCATTACAAAATCACCCATTAACATTGTCCAATTCGTGATGCATCCAGATAAAGCAGCTATACCATCACATATATTATCAAAAACAAACATAATAAACAGCTGAGGAATGAAACGCGCACACACTGCAACACACACATGTATAGATACAACAGATACAGAACAGTGAAGTAGAACGATTACTCTCATAACTTGTTGGGTTTGTTGTACCTTAGTGTCATCACTGAACCCATCGCCTTTTGCACCAAAATCATCGACATAGAGAGCTTTCTTTGATCTGGGTCGGTCTCTAGAAGCCCCAGATCGTGGGAGCTGAAGCAAAGAATCAAATCCTTGCACAGTGATGAGATTTGATGACAAAAATATACCATAAATCGTACAAATGCTCATACAAATTGAGTGAAAAGAAACACTGGAAGATCTAAGCTTACCCATGTTCTATCATTTTGCTTTTTGGTTTGTGGAGATATATCTCTATTTAGGAATTTGGTTTAGACTTTTTTACCAGATTTTTAATTAAGTTTAGACTTTTTGGACGCATTATTAATTTAGTTTTATTTCGTCTTCTTAATTTTTACATTTAAGACCCACAGTCTGAGTCACTGAGCCGATCCGAATTCAATTTTTTTTTTATAATTATATTTATATTTTAAATTATAATCATTGTTTTCTTTTCAACTGTTTTTTGTTTAAATTTTAATTTATTCTATATTAATACTTTTTTTAATAGTAATTTTTTAGATATCTACATTAAGTTTTAGAATTTGTTAAGCTTATAAGTAATTTAACCCGAATCTAACCATATATTAACTTGATTTTTAGATGATTTTTTTTTAACCTAAATAAAACATTGGTTTCTTACACACAGATGTACGTGGATGATTAGATGGCGAGTCTTAATGAAATCGTAAAATTGCTCTGGCTATTTCAAAAAAAGGTGCAAGGTTTTTTTTATACGGTATGTAAAAAAAAATGAACTGTGCTCGATCTAAGTTGATCAAATTTTGTCTAAATCTGATCATAATTGGACTTTGAGGACATGCATTGCACCCTCTATTCGCTTTTTACATGCTTCTGACCACCAATTACGGCTCCCCCGAAAATGCGATGGACGTCTTCTGTTTTCCAATAAATAACATGTCCGAGAACTTCAACACCCAATCAAGGCCTTTTTGGTAGGCCCCATGCATTTATACAAAAGATACAGTATTTACACGCAACTATGGTCCGTTCATTATATACAAAACGACCCCGTAAGATGTCCTTTGTTAACTATCGCATTATTACGGCAGGAATTTTTACTGCAGAGATTCTTGCCCTCATATTTGGCACATTCATAAAATTTTATACTCATAAATGTGTTTCGGATTCTTTCATTAATTAATTTATGGGTTGTTACTGGTTATAAGTGTGGGTTGGCCAGCTATTTTTAATTTAATTTTTTTCTTTCTTTCTTTCTATTGTGGTGGTTAATAGTAATGTACAGTTATTTGGTTTTTTAAAAAAATAATAATATTATTATTATTATTTTTTTTTTTTCTATGATATGGTGGTGGTTACGGTACTATAAGTATTGTTATATATAAACTATATCTATATGTATATAATAAATGAAAAAATTCTTTTGATGCATTAAATTTAGTTAGGAGGTTAAATTTGTAATTTTATAAATTAAATAGAGTTGTTGACAAGTCAATGAGTTTAAAGGTAATTTCATAAGGTAAATAAGTGTCGATGCACATTTTTGAAACTTCAAAAGCGTCAAAAAAAACTTAAACCATCTTTTATCAAAAAAAAAAAAAAAAAAAAAAAAACTTAAACCATCCGTTGAGAGGGGTTAGACCAAAATTGTAAAAGCATTAAGGGTACTCTGTCCTCCTTTTACTCCTTTATAAATTATAATCCCATCATTCCCTCGTGTGCTTAGTTTGCAGTCTACCAACGGGAAAATGAGTTTCTCTTAGCACAGATACTTCATCTGGAGTGGCATGGTGTTAGATACTTGGACACATGCGTTACCTGGAGTGACTTGACAGGGAGAGATCAAATAGAGTGATGACGCTTCTTAAATGAATTTAGATGAGATTTAAATCACATTCTCTTCTCGCGAAGAGTATAATTTTTCTAATAGAGAAGGTAAAGATATGAGCAAAAGACCAAATTGTTTGTTGATGGATTTGAGAAGCAAGTCATCAAATCAAGCTTTGGAGCTCCAAGCAGTGCTGAGTACTTGGGACTGAATCGAACAATGAAAATATATCATCACAGTTGAAAATATTAAATGTGGAACGAGTTGGATAAGTTACAAGTTTGATTCCATTGTTATTTGAGTTTAGTAATTAGTAATTTAAGTTTATAATTTCTTATGTGGCATTGTTGTCAAGAGTGGTAGAGATAAGGCCATAAATGCTCCACCCGGTTCCAGATTTTTAGAGCAGTGTATTTTGTTCATTTAGTTGGAAAATTCATAGGAAAATTACAGTTCTACTTTTTTCTCATTAAAAGATAGATAAATTTAAGCTTAATAAATCCTATTTTATATGTGTGTATATAAATTTAAGAAGTAGGAATACTTTAAAGAAGGAGTCGTACACACCGACACTACTCGGACACTCCTTAAATGCATGTCCGACACTTCATATACGTGTCCATAAATAAATAAAAAATTTATTATTTGGGATACATTTGTAATACAAATCTACAATCTTAAAAATAATATAAATACTATTATGACAAAGTAGTGAAATAATGGTATATATGATATAAAAATCATTATAATAATAGCATAATTTTATTTTCTAATTAATTTTATACCAACCCTTAGTATAAAAATTATAAATAAATTAAGGGTTAATTTATTATAAATAAATTAAAGGTTAATTTCACTGACACCACTTTAGGTTTGACCAAATATCATATTGAAATATCTTTCGAAAATTACTATCACTTAAGTCCAATTTCACTTTTTCGTCATTGACACCGTAAAAAATATTTGAAAAGACAACTTTGCCATTATTTTTTTTTTATCCCCTTTAATTCAAAATATCGAATAACTTATACAACCACTTTACTCCCCCGTGATTATTCCCATCTTCCACCACCCATCGCACTCGAATACACCCACCCTCTCTTTCTCTCTCTTAACAAATCTATAAAGCTCTAGAGTCTATAAACATCTTTTTCTTTTTCCCTTTCCTTCTGTATCTCTCTCTCTCTCTCTTCAAACAAAACTAGGTTAGACAAATATTTGTTCCATTTTTAGGATACCACTAGCAATCAACATAATATTAAATTGACTTATTTTTTACAAATAACCCATTTAATTAATCTGTTACCACTGAAGAGAGAGCAATGTCAATTACTCAAGCACACCAAGTATCCATAAACAAGCCCATAGTGAGCCAGAAGACTAGATATCTCTATTCACCCCGAAAAAAAAATTTTAATAAATAAAAAATCAAAGCTCATGGTCCCCTTCCTTAAAATAAGATTAAGTTTGTGGAAGACATCTCAAGCTTTGAAATTATTGAAATGTTCCCCTTAAGAAAAATAGGGAAATGATCCATTTTTAATAATGTTAATTAAATACAAATTTAAAATTATCTCAAAATAAAATTCAGTCAAGAATTTGAGCAACTACTTAAAAAAAAAAATTATCAATAACACACAAATAGAAGATCTATTGTGAACAAAAATTCAGCATTCAATCCAAAAGAAATATTCAATTATTCCGCATTCAATAATTAGATGCAAAATAGGAAGTGATGGAGACAATGCAATTAAATATAATGCAAAAAAAAAAATGTACCTAAAAAAAAATATATAAAGCAAAAAGTTATAATTCATAGAATATATGGTTAATCAAATAAGTTGAACAGACACTTGATTGCCTTGCATTTTTTTTTTCACATTTATGAGTATTCACGTTGAGACCCTCAGCATAGTTAGTGAGAGTCCTATAGTGTGGAAATATATATATATATATATATATATATATATATATATATATATATATCTATTTACGGACTATATAGATATGTTTGAGACATCTAGGATGTATCTGCGTATCGAGTCTCTATTTGGATTGTAGTTAGGATAGAACTTGTTCGTGGGCCTGACCCACTATTATTTTTTCAGGTAACGGACGGTTCCAGGTCTTAGATCTTGTTCGTGCTGAGCAAAGACAACTTCTCATTCTTCCGACGACGTAGGCGGTTCCTGCATGGTTTAGCATTGGATTCTTTTTCGGTGGTTCATTTCTCAGTGATGATTTTATTAGGAGTCCACCAGATGGATTCCCAAGTTGTATTAGAAATGGAGAATTTGGATGTATTAGAATAATTTTTTATTAATTTAATTTTATTCTGAGGTTTCAGTTTTTGGTTTATCAGTCTAGTTTCTTTTCAGCAAATTTTTATTTATTCATGTTTCCTTAATTGTATTCTGTGTTCGGTTAACTGCTAATTGGTTTAATATCCTCGGGTAATCGGGCATGGGCCTGGCCAACCCGCATCTGAAAATCCGGGGGTACCACAAGATGAGAGCATTGAGAGGTTAGATTTAGGTTTAGATGGGAAACGTGAGAGTTTTTGAGTTTTTTTGGACCGGTAGACCGCATGTTATGTAATAATTGCACATGCGTATGTATTTGTATTATGTAAGGTGGAATATATATATATATATATATATATATATATATATATATATATATATATACAGTTCTGGTTTTGACAGTTCTCACGAGTCTAAAATGGGAACCATAACCCACGGTTCCAGATTTTCAGAACTGAAGCCCATGCTTCGATTTGATTTTCACGGTTACATGAGTTTTTTTGTAACCCCCTAATTAAAAAGAAGGGTTAATTACAACGACACCCCCTAAGGTTTGCCATATTGACGGTCATATACAACTTAGTCATTTTTTAAACAAAGACACCCTCTGTGAAAATTTTGTTCCAAAAAAGCCCTTAAAACATTGTAAAAGACGAGATTGCCCTTCAATGTTTAATTCATTTTTATGATAAAATATCAGAGTTCATGAAAAGTCAACTTTTGCCCTTATATATATACACCATTATATCTCGCCTCCCATTATCTCTACACCACCGTAAGTTCCACCCTTCCACGATCTCACCGCCTCCTTCCTCCCCATTTTTCAATCACCGTCACCTAATCCAAGACAACCTAAGAAAAACACCCATTTGATTTCACCCACACCTGTCATCACTCACTATTTAGGGTTTCCAATAAAAACCCTCTCCTTATCTTGTGGCGGTGAGCGACGACTGGTTGGAATCGGCTATGGACAATTCGCGGCAAAGAGCACGGAACAGCGGTGGACGTGCGGCGGGACAGTGATGGGCTCAGTACGGCTGTGGGGAAGTCGGCTGATTTGGCCATGAATGACTCACGGCGGTGAGCTTGGGGCTTCGGTGAGGTCGGCTGAGATGGAGTGATAGCAGCGGACTGTGT